TAGCGGACGAGAATCCTTAGAAGCTAAAGGGGCCTCTACCTAAGACTTCCCCTAAGGAACCGTTAACCGGGCCTTCCGATCTATCGACGTCGCCGTTCTAGGATATCGGTCGCGGCTAATTGCCTCTAATAAACGACGGCCTCGCCGACCCGTAGGCTAACGAGCTGCGTAGTCGTTTCTAATATCGTATCCCGGTAGATACTTCGTAGATAACCGAGGAGATCGATAGGGCGAATATCGCCGTATAATAAAACCGTTAGCGTCGTAATTATCTTCGCGAATTAGCTAGATAGAGAGGAGTCTATTTTAACGAAGTCGTATTAGACTTTCTAGTAGAATAGGCGATTTTACCGCTATCGGCTACGCGTAAGCTAAGTCCGCCCTAGCCGAACCTAGGTTAATACGATTACTAGTAGAGGGTAGACGTATATATAAATGCCCGTAGGCATAGCCGCTTACGTCGGGGCGGGTTTGCGCTAGGCGATCCGCCTAGTAATCCGCCTAGTAATCCTCCTAGCAATCTACCTAGAAATCCTCCTAACGATCCTCTACTACCGCTACCTAGTAACTTCGATCTAAGTAATTCCTCTCGTAAGCCGACGTAGGGTTAGCCTTTGCCCTTTCCGCTATTAGACTTATAGGGTCTACTACGGGAAGGTAAGAAGTAACGCCGGAAACACCGTCGGTATAGGGATAATCCGAGTAAGGATAGATCTTTATCTAATAGTAAGGATTCGGACGACTCCGATTAATCCTCGTCGGATAACGATAGCTCCTTAGATACTAGTTATTATAGATACGCCCGCCGTCGCAGACACTATTAGCATTATTGGGACTACGTCGCGGAAGCGCTAGTTTCTAAAGCGAGTTATATCTAGGGGCACTACGCCTGCCTCTAGCGGCTATAGTTCGATCTAGCGTATCTTAGGTTCTTCGATCCTCTACTTAGCGTTACGGATTACGGCGAGGGAGACTACGCCTTAGTCGGAAATAAGATAATATACCGTTCGGTATATACTTTTATCGAAGCGGCTAAGGATTATACTTATATCGTAGGGCGAGAGACAGTTCGTCTTAACCTCTCCCTTTGCTTTTAAGGGATAGCGCTTAGTTAGTATTATAGTTACCTTTCTAGCTATAACCGAGCAAAGCTCTACGGCAGATACGGTCTAAAGCGCTAGGAACGTTATCTTAGCAAGAAATAGAAGGTCCCTCCGATAAAGGCGATAGATCTCCTTAATAAGTAACGCTACGACCGGTAGGATATCGCTTTAGGGCGTTTAGTAATAGACTTTATTATTAAGACGGTGCGACTCGCTAAGGATACTAGCGTACGGAAATCGAACCGGCTCTTAGAAGCTTACCGTCGAATAGACCCGCGCCTCTAATTAAATATAGATAAGCTAAATCGTCGTATAAAGGTCGATAAGTAGGTTACGTACTACGAGAAGTAGGCATTAATCTAGGAGTATATGCTTTCGTTCTCGTCTAATCGTCGCTAAGACGCTACGACTAGGAACAATAGCCGCGCTAGTAAGGCTATCTAGTAGAACCGATATAAAGGGAACGCCTCTTATACTCTAGCGAGCTTCGCTCTAGTAAGAGTATCCCCTAACTACTAGAACCGCGATATCGACCGACCGAACCTACTACGCCTTACTAACGCCTATTAGTAGAATCGCCTACCTAACGCCCCTTAGTAGAATCGCCTACTGCCGGTAGGAAATAGTAAAGGACCGTCGAAGGGTAGTAGCCCTACCTTCCTCCTAAAAGATCTAAAGCGAATCGATTCGCGCCTATTTAATCGATAGGATAGAAAGCGTAACGATCGAGCTCGTAAGTAGGCTAACTTTGCTAATAATAGTAAGAAAGTAGGCGATATCGTAAATAATGCTAACTAAGCCGACGACGGCTATCGGGAGGATAGTTAGGAGGATAATAGAAGAACCGACGCAGATAATTATAGCTATTTTAGTAACGCCGGAGAAGACGCCGACTACTTTACCGACCTATACGACTCTAATCTAGGCTTAGGAGCTTACTTTGCGGACGTAGGCGACCGCTCGCTATTAGCGTTAAACTCGGTACTATAGGCTAAAGCGTCCCTACTAGCGGCGATCTAACTATTTGCCTCTACGAAGTACGCTTATAAGGTCTATAGGCGGCGATTTAAGTTAGGCAACCTTCTATACTAGTATGTTCGTAAGGAGTATATAGGGGCGACGACGCCTTCTACTATTATCGAACGCGTATTAGCAAACCTAGAAGTAATTTAGTCGAAGGCGCCTCCGTTAGCTTAGTAAGGTTACGCATTCCGGAATTAGCAATATATAACTTTCCCTCTTCGGTTGTTACTATCCGGTATATTTATATAGGTCTGCCTAGATACCGGCTATACGCTTACTATTGCGGAAAAAGACTTCGTTTTAAGCTATCGCCCGGACGTAGAGATACGTAAGCTACGCAAACCGATCGAAATCGGCGGTATTACCGGCGCGCATCGCTCTAGGGAATACGTCGTATTAGATATATTTGTTCTAGTAGCGAAGACAGACGGTATAGTCTCCCTAGTACGAATAACTCGTAAGATTTACCTAGTTCCTAAACTAAAGGCAAAAATCCTAGTCGGTATAGATACGATTGCTCTAAAGGGAATAAAGATCGATATTCCCGTATAGACGGTTACCGTAGCTAGTTAGGACAACGCCTGCTTTAAAGTAGCTGTTAAGCGTAAGAAAGGGAAGTCGGTTTAGCGCCCCGTAAGGCTAGCGGAGGACGTAATATTAGCGCCGCGTACGGTCGCCCTCGCGCTAGTTAAGTACGGCGGTAACCTCCCTAAGGGCCGGGATTTTATTCTTAACGCCGGTTTCTTAGTCTAGCTAACTAGTAATATATAGGGATTGTCGTTACAAGCTCCGCCGTTAGTAACGGCGTATAATTAGGTCGTAGACGCTAATTTTTCTTATATATATATTCGTAACGATGCGACGACTCTAGTAACGATTCGAGCCGGATAGCTACTCGGTTCGTTAAGTAATAGGACTATTGCTAGGGCCTACTATATCGACGTAGCCGACTACGGACTAGCGGGATTGAGTCCTAACGCTTTTACGGCTACGCGGGATATACTAAATACGTAGCGGGAATACTAGTACGCGTTAGGCGTAACGATCTATAGTAATAATAACTAGGTAGACTAAATCGCTATAGCGGTCGAGCGGTACCCGGAGCTTTTTACTAATCGCTAAACGGTTGTTAATATTCCCGAGCACGATTACATACCTATCCTAACCGTACTAAATTACCTAGATCTATTGCCGCCCCCCTATATAATTAACCTAGGTAAAAGGGATCGTAAAGTAGTAGACAAGATATATAACGACCTATACCGCTAGGGGAAGATATAGTATATAACCGAGCCTACGCCCTTCGGCTTTCTAGTATTTGTCGTATAGAAGCGCGTTACTAACGGTAAAGGTAGTATAATTAATAAGCTATAGGCGGTAGTCGATATACGCGCCTTAAATAAGGTAACGATCCCCGACAGCTATTAGATACCGCTCTAGGCGGATCTCTTTATATAGTTAGTAGGGTGCTAGTATATTAGTACTATAGACTGTCTAACCTTCTTCTACTAATAGGGCGTAAAGCCGGAGGATCGTTACAAATTAACGATTAATACTTATCGTAGCTAGGAACAGTACAAGGTCGCTATTATAGGATATTCGAATAGTATCTAATTCGTATAGTAGAAGCTAGATCAGATCCTTCGCGACTGTCGTAGCTTTACGCGGGCGTATATCGACGATATCGTAGTGTTTTCGTAGACGTTGCCTAAGCATCTCGATTATCTAGAAGCGGTTTTCTAGAGATTAGACGCTATAAGAATTAGTATCAGTCCGAAGAAGACTTTCTTAGGCTTCCCCTCTGCGACCCTTTTAGGTTAGTACGTTAGCGGCCTCGGTCTAGCTACGAGTAAGGAGAAAATCGCAGCGATTACCTTACTTTAGTTCCCGGAAAACGTATAGAAGCTAGAGCATTATCTCGGTCTAACTAATTAGTTACGGCAATACATCCTATACTACGCGTAGATAGCGGCGCCTCTATAGGCGGAGAAAATACGCTTATTAAAAGGGGCGCTAGTTACCGGCAATAGTCGTCGCTAGTACGTCGCCGTTACGACGCTAGGTAAGAACGATTAGTACCGCGACGAGCTAGTAAAAGCGTTTCGCTTATTGTAATCGATGTTCTACGAGCCCTCCTTCCTATACTATTTCGACCCTAACTATCGCTTATATACTAATATAGATTCCTTTAAAGAGTTTAGCTATAGCGCGCTACTCTACTATATCGATAGAGACCTAGACCCTATTCTATCTAAGGGAAAGGCGTAGTTGTTTCCTTACTATAAGGTTTAGCCTATTCTGTTCTTAAGCCGAGGCCTAACTTAGGTAGAGATATAATATTAGCCGATAGAGCTCGAATACTCGGGAATCGTATAGATAGTAAAGAAGGTAGGCTATTTAATATATGCTTTATCGAGGCCGACGACTATCTTTATAGACTACTATACCGCGGTCGGTCTTACTAACTCGGTGTTAATAACTACGACTACTAATATAGGCAAGTAGAACCTAAAGTTAGTAAGGGTATCGATATTCCTTTCCTAATATCGAGTTAATATAGTTTACCGTCTAGGGCGGATATACCTAGTTCTAGACGCCCTTAGTCGACTTCTAGGGGATACGGAGTCGCCTAAGTTAACGCTAGACGAGGAGAACTTAGACCCGCTCTCTTACTATACCGACGTTACGCCCTCTTCGGCCGATCTAGAGGAAGTAGCCTACTTCTATACGATATTAGTAGAGCTAGATCCGGATTTCCGACGTCGGTTAAACCGAGCGTACGATAACGACGAACATTAGTCTAGGGTTTTACGACTAGTTCGATAAGCGTAGGCGCAGAATACTTTAGAGCGTCTCTATTCGGAGGGAGCTAATATGCCTTCGGTAACGAAAACGCTAGTTCGGTATAAGGGTAGCAAAAATCCGGACCTATTCGTAGGTAATAAGTTTAATAGTCCGCTAGGCATTCGATTCTTTGAGAGGGACGGCCTCTTATATTTCCGTAACTAATCTTTAGGGCGCGAGCGACTCTATATCCCTCGAGCCTTAATAGGCGAGATCTTCGAGCAGGCTTACGATAACTGTTGCTACTAAGGCTTTTAGCGCGTCTTCGACCGCATTTAAGCTTCCTTCTTTATATATCGACTCGCTCGCTACCTTCGCCTCTATTTAGATTATTATTACTAGTGTCTCCTTTTACGTACCCCCCGATACGCTCCTTACGGCGAACTTTACCCGATCTAGAATGCGGAGGGCCTATACTATACTATAACGATAGATCTCGTAACTGCCCTACCGGTTACGACCGATAGATTTAATATACTATATACGATTACTTATAAGATATCTAAGCGGGTAGTAGTCGTCCTAGGCAAAGAGGACTAGAAGGCCTACGACTAGGGCATCGCTCTAATCGATAGGCTTTACTTAATAGATATAAGTATACTAGTAGTGCTTATCGCTAATCGTAATCCTCGCTAGCTAAGCGACTTCTTTAAGGGCGTTTTCTCGCGCTTACGTACGAAGCTAGCTACGTCTACGGCCTACTACCCTTAAACCGATAGTTAATCCGAGCGAACTAACTAAACGGTCGAGACGGCAATTCGTTACTAGTTAGCGGATTATCCTAGCGAGGATTAGACGACGTTTATCCTATAGCTATAGGCTACGCTTAATAACTCCCGTAATACGACTACCGGTTAGTCGCCGAACGAGGTTGCTATAGGCGTAAGGACGAATCTCGACTCGCTCGATATACTATACGACTATCCGTATAATAGGGCGGTAGCGCGTAGTCGTATCTAGAAGGAAGTCTAGGATGCGATTACTTAGGCGAACGTAAAGATAAAAGAACGGTATAATAGTAAGTATAAGCCCCTATTCCTTAAGCCGGGTAACCGTATTATACTTCGCCTATACCGTAGTTACGAAGTGCCTAGTTAGTCGTACAAGTTTAGCTACCGTTTTAAAGGGCCTTTTATAGTTCTCGAGAAAGTCGGACGGCTAGCCTACTATCTCGAGTTACTGCTATTAATGCGTATCTATCCGGTAATATCGGTTTCGCAGTTAGAAAAAGCTCCTAAAGACCTAGATCCTTTTAAGAGAACTATTAATTACAAGCCCCCGCCCGTCGTAGCTAAGGACAGTCTAGGTTCTAGTAACGAGGGCGATTCTTATAAAATCGAGCGCTTTCTAGGGCGAAGGACCGTCGTCCGGAGGGGCTAGCCCGTTCTCTAATACCTAGTAAAGTAGAAGGGGTATAGGAGCGCCTATAATATATAGTATAATATCGACGACTTAATAGGCGCGGACGATCTACGTAAAATCTACGATAACGCCTACCCTCTAGAGGAGGCCCCGCTATCCCGTACCCTCCGTAGGGTAGTAAAGCGGACGAGAGCGCGCTAGCCTTTTTTAGAGGTTGCTAGCTCCGCCGATAAAGGCGAAGCCGGACAATCCCTCGCGGTTTATCGCAAATTAATACGACTCCGCGGCGCGACTCCTTCTTCGGAGTCGTAATCTATCTAGGCGTACCCTTATATCGTTATCGTAACTACGTTACTTAGGTAACCGTTATATATAGACGCGGGCTATCCCTTATTTAGCATCGATCTTTCTAGACGATAAGAGAGCTTTCTATTAATTACCGACGACGAATAGAAACGGCCCTCGAGCGCGATAACCGCGTCCGTCGCGGGGAACGTAAACTAGTAGCTTTTTAGAAAAAATTTCTATAGTACCGATCGCGATATAAGCGCCTAAACGTTATATTATTCGAGGCGGATTTATAGTATACGTCTCGCCTATACCGTAAGGCCGACACGTTCGACCTCCTCTAAGGAGCAATAGCTAAGGAATATCGTAGAAGCGAGGATCGAGAACCCTAGGATACCGCGATAAGGAATAGTAAGGTTAACGCTCCTCGCGGGGAACCGCTACTATTAGACGGTCTAGGATCGGCCGGATAGTCCTTATTTGTTACCGGCTTAACGCCTACGCCTAAGCTAGAGAGTAGGGCAAGCAATAAGGAGGCAGTATTAGATACTACGGTCGAGAGATATACGGCCGCGCCTAAGCTAGATAATATAACGGATAAGGAGGTTATAGTATTAGATACTACGGTCGAAAGTCGTATAGCCGCGCTAGAGGCAGATAATATAACGGGTAAAGAAGATACGATATTAGACGAAACGGTCGAGAATCGTATAGCCGCGCTAGAGCCTAAGGACGTAATAAGTAGAGAGGATACAGTCTTAGACCCTTCGATCGAGGTTCCTACGCTCGCGTCTAAGCTTAAGTATATAACGAACGAGAAGGATGCAACGCTTAATACTACGGTTAAGGAACGTACGGCTACGCCTAAGCTAGAGAATTTAGAGGGCCCGGTAAAGGATTTAGTAGGTAGAGAAGACGCAATAGCGGATTAGATCGGCGAGTATCGTAGAGAGATAGATAACGCTACGCTTAACCCGTAACAAACGCGTCTAAAGGAATATAGTACTAATCTAGCATAGACGCTAGAGGGCTTTACGATCCTCGCTATAGCGGAAGGCAATCTTCGATAGACCTTTCGTAAGGCGCTATCGCTTATTTCTACTAACGGCAGTTTAAGTACCGGCGAGGTTTAGGCGGTATTAAGCTACGCTACTAAGAATAGATATATGCGGCCTTTCCTAATATTTACTAAGGACGGATTAGATATAGAACTATACTATATATTAACGGACTCCGGTCGATAACTATTATAGCGATACGTACCGTTATTCTTAGGCCGTAGTCGTATTAACGATACGCTAATAGCGAGCTTAGTACCGTTGCCTCCGGCTAATAATATAGACGAATCCGATTTAGAATTACTCGAGGTAATAGCTCGCCCGTAATCGTAGGGGACGCCGGGTAGCGAGTTTAGTACTATATAGCGTTAGACTATTGCTAGCCTATCGATAGTGCTTCCGAATCTAGACTGTCCGCTCTCTAATATTAGACAGTTCTCCTTTCTAAAATATTACGCACCGGCGGTTATTGCGGCGGTTAATCTAGATTACGTTTTCGATAGGAAGTCGTTTATATAGGCGGTTACGGCGCTTACTACGAAGAAGAAATAGTTAATAGAGCTAGCGAAGGCGTTGCTAGGCGAGGGCCGATAGACGGGCCGAGCGCTCTATAAGGCTATAGCCGACTACTTTATCGATAAGGACGACCCTCCGCCGTACTATTTAGGTAAATAGGAGTTTGTTTAGAAGGGCAAAGCGTTACAGGTCGAGATTCTAGAGACCGAGAAGCTATAGGACATCGTACCGGGCTTCTTTACCCTTTACCGAGACGCCGCTACCTACGCGTCTAGTAGCCTAGTTAACGGTATAGAAAGCGGCCCGATTAATCCCGTTAGCGCGTAGCCTCTTAACGCGCCTTCGGCTTTAGAATTGGTACTACCGTTAATAATACCCGCAAATCGACCGGCTTTACTAGAATTACTATCTCCGCTAGCGCGTATACTTCCTAATTTACCGCTACTATAGGCACTCGCCTCCCTAACGTAGGCGCCGAGTAACAGCTCGCTATAAGCACCCGTACTAGCTCCTCTTAAGCTCCTAGCTACTCCGATCGAGTCGGTTTTTAAGGAACCTCCGGTCCTATCCCCTAAAGAACTCAAGTTCGAGCGGTAGTAGCTTCGAGGCTAGCGCGCGCGCTAGACTTTAATTAATAAGCGTCTCCTTCGCGCTAACGAGACGCCCGAATAAGCTATAATCCGGTAGTATATAGAGTACGAGGACTATAATAAGAAAGTCGATACGCTAATCGCCGCTAATCCTATAGAGCGTAATAAGAATAGAGACGTACGCTTTGTCTAGGCCGCGAAGCTCGTATATAACGCGTACGCTAAGGACGCTAACGGTCGGCTACCTAATCTTTTTCGCTTACGCCTATATAAGCGAATAGTCGAACACTATTTAGTAAGGCTTTAGCATTACCTATATTATCTATACCTTATAGCTAGTAATCGGCGCTTCTAGATTCTACGCGAATTGCATTAGTATATAGGCAAGCTAGTTACCGATTTTGAAAACCTACTCTTTACGTAACTATACTCCTTCCGAATCGTAAACAACGATCTCGCTCGTAAATACTCTATCTTTAGGACCGACCTCTACTCGGACGGTTACGATACGTAGTAGGAGATTTACGCGATACGCTTTAGCGAGTACGTAGCGCTTATAACGGCGGGCGAATTAAAGGAGCTTCCTAACCTAGCTAACCTCGATACGAATTTTCTACTAACTATTACTTTCTACTACGCGAAGTTATAGTACCGACTCCTAGTAAACATTACCCGCTTACGCGAGAACTTCCTTAGCTTAAGTACCTATACCGGCGACTTACGATTCTAGCTAGTACTGTCTCTAATCCGTAATAGAGCCGTCGGTCTTATAGTACGCGCTATCTTATACTTCCTATAGACGGTCGACCTCGTATAAGAGTAGTTCTACCGCTTCGTCCTAAAAGAACATCGCGATAGCATTATAGTAGGCAGTTACCCTATCCTATATAAGCGTAGCGAGAACGGTAAGGATGTCTCCTACCGCGATTACGGTAAGGAATACTAAAAGACGGGCAAGCGACCTATTAGTAAATACGTCGGAGCGACAAAGCATTATAAGATCGACCTAACTACCTACGGCGAAGTCTAATTCTTATAAATAGTAGCTACCGGACGACTCTTAATAGTGCGCCTACCTCTACTAGACTCCTAGCTTAAGGACTATACCGTTTAGCTACTACTAATCGGTATAGAGCTTAGTGCCTAGTCGGCTATATAGCTCTATAAGTAGTATAAGTCCTCCCTAAACTCTAGTAGCCTACCCTACCTATACCGTCGAAACCTAGGTCGCCTAGCTATTACCTAGGACGTCGTCGCTTATACCTAGCGGTATATTACGGTCCGTAACGCCTATACGCTTCGCGGCGAGGGCTATATATCCGCCCTCTATACTAATAAGGCGCTTACGGATACGAAGGCTACTAATACGTCGCGTACGGAATAGTACGCTTAGCTTATAGGTAGTAGTCGCTACTAGAACGGTACCTATGCCGCTAATAAGGGCAAAGGTATACCTCTACTACTCCTTAACCGTTAATACCCGGTAGACTTTAGCCTAGTCTACTAGCTAACTTAGATCGATCCGGTATACGCCTCGTCTACCTTTATCGCCTATATCTAGACACTTAAGGACGGCGCTATCCCTAATAGATTAGAGCCCGCGCTAACGCTATAGTTCTATAATTTGCCGAAAACGGTCTCTACCGATCTAGTCTTCGATCCTTTAGGCGTCTAGGAGCGTATTATATAGGGCAATACTATTTTTAAGTACGATAAGATAGTAACGAATAAGAATTACTAGTAGTATAATATCGACTATACTTAGGATCCTATAGGTATATTCCTAGTACTGTTACCCGACTACTCGCTAGACGAGACCGACCTTACTAACGCGCGCCTTTTCGGCAAAATCGTCCCTCCTAAGCTCGCGACTCGGGCTAAGCCGCAACCTCCGGCCGTTGCCTCGCTAACTAAGGCGATTTAGCTAAATTCCTCGCGCGTATTACTATCGACTAAGTTAAACACTCGCTAGAAGCTAACCGCTAGCCCGTTCTTAGCGCCTCGCCTACCGTCGAAGATGCCGCTACTATCTAACCTATTCTCTACGCCTACGAAGGCTCTAGTTGCGGCTTAGCTACTACCGCCTAATAATACGGTTACGTAGCTATAGTATAAGCTCCTATCGCTTCCGATACGCTTACTACCTTTGCCCGCCCTATAAGAAAACACTATAGGCGCCTACGGACAATACTAATATAATATAACGGTAATTAGTATATGTACGCTTAACTTATAAGCTCTCTACTATATACGCTAGTCCGAGTTAGTAGCAACCGAGATATACTAGCTTTAATAGATGCTAGCTAAGGCATAGATCCGCGAAGCAACTAAGCGCTAGATAGCCTAGTAGTATCGTCTTTCCGCTACAGTCTTAAAGGAGTCGCTTACGCTATCGCTAACCTATCTTTACTACGATTTCTTACGCGTCGCGCCGTAATAGGCAATCCCTATACTATACCTAATCTACGAGGACGCTTTTAAGCTACTCGGCGGCGTATAAGGCAATGCTACTAAGGATAAGATCGCGAAGCTTAACGCATAGATAGCCGACTACTTTAAGCTATACGGTGCTATACGCGACGCCGATACGCTACTATTACTAGGTGCCGACTTCCCTAATATCCCTATCGATTAGTTAGACCGCGCTACTACTATAGCGGACGCAGTTAATACCTCGCTATCCGATAATAAGACTATAAAGACCGTCGCGCCTTAGCCGTAGCTAAAGGCGGTTTAGACTATACCGACTAGCTTATACGACGCCCTTCGTAACCGTCGTAATAAGCAAGTATAAAACCGACGTAGTTATTACTAGAGAGATACGATTCTATACCTAGTATTACCGTTCTAGCATACTATTTAGGCTTAGCCTTTATGCAACGCTATTACGCTCTTTTGCCTTAAACCTTCCTACGGTGCGGCCTACTAAGGACCTTTGTTTTAGGACACTATAGACAGTGCCGACCTTTTTTATAGGGGGGGAGGCTATTACGATATAACACTATTATATATACGATAGCAGGCAGCGGTTACTATCGACCGCTGCGGTCGCTATTGCTACTAATAGTAGGACTATTATATAGATAGCTTGCCTCGCGGCACCTTAGAGAATGCATTAACTTTTGTACCGTATAACCGTTACGATACCTTTGTACTATAACTGTGTGCCTAGCACTCTATATATCGATCTAGCTAATAAATACTAAGTAGCTTTTTAGTATATAGTTATACTTATACTACTAATATTTATAGCTCTATCTAGAGTCGTTAAAGTTCTCCTAAAGTATATTATAGCTAATAAGACCGACTTGTTTCTCCTATATTCTTAGCCTTTATTCGGTGTTTTTTTTAAATTCTAGTCGTACCTACTTAAGCGGCTTATAGTAGCCTTTTTCTATTTAGTAGTAAGTAGTGCCTCGTTTTTATAAGCCTTTAAGTTCTTCTAATCCCCTTACCTAGTCTAGAGCTCCTTCTTAGGCGTAATCCTATAAGGCTTTATAACGGCCTCCGCTATCTTCCCGATACTCGTTCTTTCCTTCTTTTTCGGTAAATAGTTCTTATCGTATCTCGAATAGTTGCCCTAGTACTTATAGGAACCTTCTACCTTATATATAGAGCTCGCTTACGACTAGCCTTTAGGCTTATTACTAGTATTATAGATATAGATCTACTCCGCTTATACGCTTTAGCTCTTTACTCTTTCTTACTTCTTCGTTAGGAAACCTCCCTAGTCTTTATTAGCTACTACCTCCCTTATAAGTATAGGCTTTAGTTCTAGCTCTCGGGTTAGTTCGGGCTATAGTATCTAGTTTAAACGTAGTAGCTAGACCTTTACTACTCTTCTTTTCTTCTTCCTTAATCTCTTAAGTTTACTAATTAGTAAAATATTATACTATCCCTTAATAGGCTATAACTACTTTAAAAGTAGATCTTTTCCTTTTCTTCTACTCTTTTAGTAGTCTCTCTATTCGGTTTTTTACTTTCGCTTTAGCGTTCGTTTCCTTAAGTCGACTATTAATCTTCTTATATATCTTCTACTTCTAGATTATATCTTTTTTCGAGTAACCTTAAACGTCCTATCTACTTAGCTCTCTAATCTAAGCCTCTATTACTTCGCGTTTCTAGCTACTTAACTTTAATCTTAATTTTAGGTTTAAGTAGAGTTAGATAGGTTTAAGTAGAGTAAGATAGATTTAGGATCGAAGTTTTTATTAGCGTTCTCGTCGTAATCTTCCTCCGTGTCCTCCTTGCCTTACTGTTGCCGTATTCAACGCCTATATTCGAAGGCATTACCTCTACACTTCACAAACTCAGACAGATTAACCCGATTCGCAACAATCAGTGCATTCCATCTCTTTACCTATGGTTTTGGCAACCACGGCCCGATAGGAACGTGTTCCTTTGCCCTGAAAGATCCATGTGCATTTCCTTGTCTGCTCTCTTTCCTAGCTGGCCCTTGCATCAGACCAAGTCCCAAAGAGGTGAGTGAGAGGTATGCTCTCCTCCGTGTTTCAGCTTGCATTGTGAATCTGGCACCAAGGCCTGCTTCAAGGAGATTCTGGACCTGATGACTGATGTGTCGAAGCTGGAGACAGTGTGGTAGGTTGCGATTGATCGTCTTCACATCGATGATCTGTACGCCATGTCCCATCTCAGCAGCACACAAGTTATCGTCGCTGCCGCGGGCTCGTCATAGCCCGCCAAGCTTATGGAACTCTAGGCGATTGGGGATCCCGTCTCGCTGCTTCCGTCAGTATCTTCAGCAAGACACCCACATCTCTGGTGGCAAGGATATGTTCAACCTTGGGAGAGAAGAAATCGTATTGTGATTATGTCGCAGATCATATCTAGGAGGTCGCACATCATCCTGCGTGAAGTGGCGCACAACCTCTGCAGGAGTCCCAGGTTCGGTCTGCGGTAAGCGTTGAGTTACGCAAAGCCGCACATAGTCGACAGGCATTCATGCTCCGAGGTCTGGGATTGCAATGTAAGAGGCGCAGGTTCGCATCGACTTGACAATCTTCGGCAATGATATGGGTGCTCTAGTTGTCGCTGTTCTCATCTGACTTGCAGTTTCTGCCAATCTCCACCTTAATAGTATCGGATGAGCTATCGCTTCTCAGCTCCAGGTACAGATCTTCTTCTTCCTCGTACTTCGGAAACAGTAGTGGCTGCGTGAAAAGTCTTGCATGGTACATGCAAAGTTGCCATCTTGCGTGGAGTCGGACCAATGTTGAATGGCGGTTCTGAACGGAATGACCCTTTCTACCCACATCAGCACCTGCCTTTCATCATGTCGCCGTCGGTGGCAGTTTCAAATCAGAGCCAAAGGTGTTCGCATTTGCAAGGGATCCACTGATACACAATGCCAACGCAGCAATACTGAACTGACATGCTGTGCCAATGCACTCCCCTAGTAGAAAGCCTCGCTGCGTTTTGCTGACACACTTCTGACTACATCGAGAGGTAGCATCAACGACCGACTAAGTCGAGTTGCATCAAACGATGGCGAGAACGTAGTTGCTCCTTCGGCGTCGATGGTAAAGACTAGTTGCCTGGCCTACGCTCGCCGAAGAATGAACGACCTGACTTGCTAGCAGATGTTTCAATGCAGCTTCACCAATCTCCGGCGCCGTCGACGGGGAAGCCGAGACAAGTTTCCTGACTTGGGATCGCTGTCGAATGGGCGACCTGAGTTGCCAGCGAATATTTCGATGCCGCTTCATCACGGATTGGCAAGAACAAGTTGGCTTTGCTTCACTACGCATTGGCGAGAATGAATTGGCTCCTGGAGTGCAATTCCAGCTTCCCGGGGATGGGAATTACGACACAGTCGAGCTACGCTGGCCCATTTTAGACGGCAGTGAGCTGGACTTCCAGACCCGTATCTGATATCCCGCGCTGTGAGTGATAAGTCTGACCGATACCCAGCCTCGATGAATAGTAGCACAGCAAACACATCCGTCCAAATAGAGTGGTGCAGTCAAGCAGGCAATTTCGCCTGCCAGCGGCATGGATACACAGTGGGTGACATGGTCCTTGTCACTAAGCGCTGAAATCTCCGCACATTGATTCCTGGTTCAACTCACTCGGTCTGGGGCCATTGTTGTGGACTATGCGTTTGCAACCTTTGCCCAGCCTTTGGTAAGTGGTGACTCCAGACATTTCGGAGGTCGCTGAGTTCATTTCTGCTACCGAGCTGTCGCCTTATTGTCCATCTTCATCACAGTCAGTTCTGTCGCCCGTATGTTGAAGAGCATTCGACGAGTCCTGTGCCTGCCAGTCGATTAGCATCATTGCTGTCACCACTGTATTGCACATCGCTGAAACACTGCTACTGCAAGAGCCACGTGCGATCTCTGAGGTGAGTTTTGGGACGAATCATCATCGACTCAACACCACCTTTGGCCAATCAATTCAGTGCTAAACTGGCCAGCTCCCTTCCGACAAGAATTCCATACAAATCAAGCACTCACTACACGATCGCTCTGCATTGGTGCTCAGTGGATTCCATGCAGCAGCTTCTTCTGATGATGCCGAGGGAAGCAGTGGGGAGTCGTATGCTCAATATAGCATCATCCTCGTCCTCTCAATTGTTTGCGGCAGCCATGGTCTTCTCATCATGCTGCTAGTCTTTCCACAATGTTCTCATTGCAAGGTCCCATGTGCTCCATTTTGTGCTTCTCCTCTGGCGCTCCCTTGTTCTTGTCCTGATGGCTCGGGTGAATGTGCAGCCGCTCTCGCAACAACCGAGACACCATTTGCCATTGCGCGGACTTGCTGAAGTGCCCGATCGAGTGTCTGTCAGCCGTACGAGGCGCAATCTCTTCCTCTCTTCTGAGCTAGGCTGAGCTGAGCTGACCTTGATTCCACCAAGTTTCATCTTTCGGGCGCAGCACATTGCGTGCTGGCCCAAGGCTTACTGAGGACCTGCTGTCTCGCCATCGTAGGGCGGTTGTTATGGGAAGTCGAGAGGATGCTGCTCGGAGGGAGGCGATGTTGACATGTTGATCGAAGACGACGACGGCTCGTTCGGCGCAGCTCAGCTTGATTTATAACCGAGAATCGAGCAGGGCCTACAGACGCAGAGTCCAGCCCAACTTCGAGACTTTGAGTGATGCGCGGCGATTGTTGATGCGTGAGCTGCTTGACTCGGAGCCAGCCAGCCTGGAGAACTTGAAGCTTCAGCCCGCATTCTTGGCGGAACCCAATCTCCCTCTCCACAACTTCTTCTCCGAAGTCCGAACAAGTAGAAGATGGCATTGCTGGCAATGCTGGCAATGCATTCCCTACCAGCACTTCTTCTGAACTGCTACAAGCGCCCTGGTTTCGATACCGACTTCCACGTCAGAATAACTTGTGCTTGCCTTTTCTCTCGAGGAACGGGCCGCCGAATCACAGACTGAAACGCGTATGTTCATGAGCATATTCGGTATGATACGATCCAAATTCTCTGGCTCATCAAATTGATATCACTTCCCATGTAACCCCATTGCAACATTTGTTGCATCTGGTGCAAAGTAACATAACAGTGTCAGCGATCGTGCGGAAGTGGAAGTGTTTGCGGTGTGAAATGATTATGTATGCCATTGCCTTCATAAAGTCTCCTTGTGCAGATGATTTTTAAAAAAGTTTAGGCAGAACCGGTTCGCATTTGTTTTCTCTGGAGGGGGGTTGATTTTTTTAAAAAGTTACGCTTCACAGCGGCATATTGCGCAACATCTCCGTTGAATGTCCTCTGAACTGAACAGTCGGAGTCGGAGGGAAGCTGGGAGCAGTGGCCGATGCCCCACGCATGTACAGCGTACACGCGGCTGCGTGTACAGCTTGCACCCGGCTGCGTGTACAACTCGCACCCGGCTGCGTGTACACCGTGCTTTCAGCCGCATGTACGCATCAACTTTAGCTCGCGCGTTCGCGAGAGTCGGAAGTCCATCACCTGCGAGAACTCGTTGGCTCGGAGGAGATCAACACATGCTGCAACTTCGGCGCATGGCATCGTTTTCATGTCCACCGGTTTGCAAACTGAATGTAGAGTACGTGTATGCCAGACACAGCAGCGAGGGCTGTCCGAGATGCCTCCAGGATCAGTTGTGAGTCCGCCGTACACCAGCTCATTAGTGTTTGTGCGGTTCTGGAGACAAAAAAATCTCCAGTGCATCGTTGTCTTTGGATGTGATAGGAATTGTAGTGCGAAACGGAGGTATGCAGGCTGAGAATACCCTGCGCACTCTCTTTGTAAAGGTATGGAGCGAGTCTATGTACCTGCTTCTGATGACCACGGATTGCCCATGATGTTCATGCGTTGTGCCATGGTCTTCGCTGTTGCCCTTCCAAAACTTGTTCCATGCGAGGTGGTTCCCTCTCCTCTCTAGCGCTGTAAGCGCCCTCGCTGTCCTGGCTTTTCCATGTCCTGCTCACCTTCTCGCCGACCAGCGCTGACCTCTTTCTCCGCCAACCCGCTCTTCTTGTTTGCTAGAAGCTTGGAAATCATCGTCGGTGGCTTGCGAGTGCGCTTTTCGTTTGCGTGAAGTCCGCGTGGATCAAGTTGATATCTCGTCGGCTGTGGGATCAAGTGTATATGCCTGCCAGCCAGGCAGTATGCATTTGTGTATCTCGTGACCAAGAAAGATATCAGTACATTGGAACCAGAAGTTCTTGAGGCTCAACAAGGTGTTCGACCGCACACCGAAGGATCTCTACGTGCGAGGTATAATGAAACAGCTCTCGCTGGAGCACTGGGCACGGCAATCTCCAGCACGTGAGAATACCGAAGAACTCATGGCAATGATGAGCGGCATGATGATTTCGATGGCTGGTGTCCCATCGGCGAAAGGAGCTCACGGTGCTCACCCGTCGGTCGACGGAAATCCTTCCCAGTCTCGTGGGAGGAAGTGCTCGTCCAGTGTCCAGCTCATCGCGATGCAACGGAGGACTGCGACAGGTGAAGCAGTGATGGAAACCTTTGGTTACATCCGCTCATTTCTCTGTACTCCGGTTGTCATCTTACAGCGCTCGTCGTGGTGTAAGGCAGCGTCGTTAAGCCGTGCACATTTTGACAACTTTCCACGCTTTCGGCGGCGCCGGCAGGGACAGGGTTGTGTGGTGCAGTTCATGCACGGAAGAGAATCCATGTCTCCGCAGCGCCGCCGCTGGCCAGGGTTTTCTGCTGCCAGCTTTCTCCCTCTTTACTACTCTTCACTTCCACCACGACAACACCACCACCACCACCTTCTAGTTCACGGCGAATATGCTTGCGCTGCATCTGCACCACCGCCTCGCCCTACTTGATGCCACTCAGGCCAGCCTTGCCACTCCAGATCCTGTCCACTGCGTCGTTTGCCGCGCTGCCAGAACACTCGTCTGAGTATTCACCTCCTCCGAAACACCGCGCGCCGCTAGTTTCGCATTCCTAGTCCGCTCCTCATACATTTTCTGCCTTCACAGAACGAGCTGTCGACCCATATTCTGTACCAGCGCAAGAGCGTGACGCTGTCGAAAGGTGCTCGTCTCGTCGTAAGGACGTCGTCCTGCGTGGCTCTTGGAGAACACAATGTTGGACATCTTGGCCAGACAAACTGTGCGCGTGTGGGAAGGCTCTCTTAAGCTGCGCTGACCTACCTTCTGGGCACTGCTGCCGCTGGAGAGGTTGTGTCTCAGCTTGCTACCAGAGCGCGCCTGCCGTACTGTCCAATGCCTCGCTGGTCATCGGGAGAGCACAGCTTTCAGCGCCATCATTTTTTCACCCTTCACACACAAGACCTCTGAGGCTCGCCTTTGGCCATGTAGTCCTCTGGCATGCAGCTTCCTGCTACTACGTCGCCGGGAGAATGCAGACTGCAGTGCCTTCTTGTTTTCACTCGTCTTCCAGGAGCCCCACGAGCGAATGTCTAGCCAAGAACGCAGGCTCAGTCGCCAGCCTGCCGGCGGACAGAATCCCAGGGCGGTGTAAAAGAATGCCAGAAAGCTGAGTGTGTTCGGTTTCCGCTCCATTTCTCTCCCTCTCTCCTTTTCTTTGCCCGTGTGGGCGTATCTTCCTTGCCTGTGTGGGCGGTCGGCGAGCCTCTGCACCTCAATCTCCACCGACTTTCCTCCAATTGCCGCAACGATGGCTCTGAGTGACCGCACACCTCCCACAGGCGCGCAAACGAATAGTCAGCCCAAGTCCACGCCGCAAGAACTGGCCAAGCCCACTTCCAGGAAGCAGAAAGACTGGCCACAGGCATACTCCAGTGATCACATTCTTCAGTCTTACGCCAACAAAATGCAGACATCGAAGGGCTGGCAGCTGTGCTTGTTTCCTGGAGCTCACGGGCATAAATGCAGCGTGCAGAACTTTGCGCAGGTCGGTCGAGTGTTTCAGCAAGATGTGCACAAACTCTCTGCCCAAATCCAGGCAAGAGATTCGCGAGCAGTGATTGATACCATTCAAGGCATGGTTTCGCACACTGTGTGCGGCTGGCATCGTCAGGGAGCGAAGAATCACAGCCCAGACGGCTCCAAATTTGCGCTGCACAGGATTTGCATTGAGCTTGGCTTGGATGTCTCACGTAAGTCTTGAGAACATTCATTCATGCGGTCTTCGCTTACTGACTCGCTCGACAGTTGAGCTCTTCCGGGACTATGTCGACGCCGAGCCTTCGGTAACAGCTGTTGCTGAGCACATTGCAGGAACATCTGGCGAGCTTGGGGCAACTCGTGCGCTGGTGGATGACGGCGAGTCCTTTGATGGCGGAGCAACAGTTAATGTGCCCTCGCGAGGCATGAAGCGGGCTCGCGTTCATGACGCTGATGACACTGAGGCCCATTCCGAACGCCCATCTCAGGTTGCGAAAATCACGCCAGCAATGCTAGCAGAAGACATCTCAGGGCGATCAATCAAGAAGGCGAAGCCAAGCAAGACCTCCGGCACGAAGGAAGCGCCTTCGAAGCTGATCGACCTTCCCACAACATTCCCTTCTGGCTTCCAAGATGACGAATGCTTGCTGTGCCGTGGAACGTGGTCCTCGCACGAGACAACATGCATCTTTTATCATGGAGATGACATTCATGCTTTGCCAACGATGACCTCATCCGCAACCGCTGATCAAGCACGCGGCTTCGTGACTGCTGGAGCTGCTGCCGAAGAGCAGTATCTTCCACCCGAGCAATTCGGCGATCCAGCTCCCTGTGGTGGCACTTCAGCTCCGCCATTTACAACTCCTTCGGCCTGCTTGGATCCGCTCGGCCTTGATGGCGGACCTCCCGCTGAGCAATTCCCTCAATTTGGCCCATTCAACGGTCCGCCTGCGGGCTATAGTCACGCTGCCCGTCCAGAAGTTGCAACTCCATCGATCGCTTCTGACCAAGCTGACGTTGGCCAGCTCGCAGCTGCCACTCCACCAGTCGACAACAAGGATGTATGGAATCTTGACTGGGATGCGCTGGACCAATACAACTCTTCCCACATCGCTATGCTTCCGGACCAGGCCAGCCTTCATGAAACATTGCGACCCAGCGTTGTCGGCGGCTTGGAGTCTTCCAGAGACGTGTTCGGGCAGGAGGATCTCGGCGGTGGTCCATAGAATCGAACGGTGGACAGCGCTGGGCCAAGAGAAACCGGGGGAGATTCGATCGTGGATCCCACTCGACTTGCTTGAGGACCTCGGCGGTCTTGATATTGGAAGAAGAATGAATGCATGCCATGGACGACGGAGTATCATATGATTTGCCCAATGAAGGACGATTGCATGCTTTTGAACGATGGGAAAATGCATTGACGACAGTAACGACTGCCACGACGGATAGAAACGGCTTCAAAATCAACCTTGGAACGATCAACGACAGCAATGACATGAACGAGCAGAACTTGCACTGGGTACATTGGAAAGGAATGAATGGCGCATAGAGACCAGATAGGCCTGTGCGCAAAGACGTGCCCCTCCCTCAATGTCTCTCGCTTAACACCTTGGCTTGAGAACTCCTAACTTGATCACTATTGCGTATTGTGTATGAAATCTTTGGGCTCGCATTCCCTCATCGGTATCTCTACGTTCGCTTTTGAAGGAGCGACAGGAAGACGTGTACGAGAAAGCGAAGCTGCGTTCCATGGCTCGGAGTTGAAGCGGCATGGCAGCCCTCACCTGTACCATGGCCAGCGTCATCCATCCTACGGTCTCTTCTGCCCTTTCGACGAGCATCATGTCTTGAAATTTTCTTGACAGCAAGACCTCTTCCAATTTCCTCCCCTACTCGCCGAGAGCTTACCACAGAGATTCCCAGACTCGACCGAGGCACGCTGGGGTTCTCCGGGCTTCAGAAGACACGTGGCTGCGCTGCAATGGCAGAATGCCGCATGGGAATTCTCGATTGGAAGCTTATGATAGTCGCAAATACTACGCTGGCCTTCCGAGGGTATCTGTATGGAGCTCGAACCATGAAGCTGAATCCATGAAGAGCGATGCATGAGGTCAATACGGACAACCTTCCTCCTCCTCCGCCTCCACCTGGAACCCGAATCTTTCAGCTTTCTCCGGTTCAACAGCGTTTTGACACTGAAGTGAGGAATCATCACGCACAGATACGGGCTTCCCTGAACACAGGACATGTCTGGAGCAACACCGCAGGTCGCCATACCGACCATGGATGGCCAAGCGTAACAAATTCTTATCTCAGCTCATTTGCATCTCGGCAAAGCGGCGCTTGAGATGTAGTTCTATCAACGCTGTTTGGAATTCTCAAGTCACGAAACTTCTCGGGGCCAGCAATTCAATGGTGGGCCAACAACCACAGATCACCCCCACGAGTCTGCTGGCGACAATCTTCGGACATCTCAAGAACATCTATGTCCCATCGGCTGATGATGATGGGTCGGGCTCGCTCATGTCACATTCTGGGGTTCAATTTCGGCAAGCCAGGTACAGGCCATGAATTCATTCTTTCAGCGTGCCGGAAAGCTTCGAGCGGTGCAAGAAGAAATCACCAGAAGCAAGCGGAAGCAACTTCTGTTGCTTACACGAGAGTGGCCACTCGTCTGGTGCGCGAGAGCTGTGTCCAGCTTTCTTTGTAGGCGCCGTGTGAATCATCAGAAGTTCTTCACCGCATTCAGACCTTCTCCGGTATTGCAGGCTTTACGGCGCTCCGCACCATCGCGAAATTCGGCAAGGCTATCCCGTTGTAAGGTTCCTTGGTTACTGGAAAGATATTCAACTCGCGGGCCCACCGCACTCTACATTGGAGTGCGGGAACCTGGGCCGCTCTCTTGCACCCCAATGGTGTACTGCTCCGGGCATCTCACATTTCGTTCACCACGGTCGAAGCTGCATAGCTGCCAGACGTCGGTGTGAGCATCTGCTTTCCCCAATGTCGGAGGACTGACGTGGTCCGCATGACGGGTGCTACACCTGTGTTTTCGCAGGAGAAACATCGACACCTGTGATACTTGCTGGTTCCAGTGGCTGCTGGTGAATGTGCACAGCTCTTCGGATCCTTGGGAGATGGGAGATTGGCTGTGTTTGTAGCAATAGAGGGCAAAGTATCAGTGGCCGCCATCAAAGGCATTCTAAAGGATAAAGATTTCCAGGTGTACGTCTGCGAGTAGATTCCTTTCTATGAGCTTGTTGCAAACAATCTCAGATTCTGCCACAGATTTGCGGTAATGGCAGGCAAAGTGATGCCAACCTGGTTTGGTTTTCTCGACGGCTCCTGCTCTTCCGGCTACATTCATGATGCTTCGTCTCGGCGGAAGACTAAAGCGCTTCTCATCCAGTTTGGTTGAAACTTCACGGTGGTGGGGAATGTGCTCTTGCAGCGTTTCAGAGGCGATAATAATGTCGTTGACATATCCATATGCCTATGGGAACTCTCGAAGAAAATTCATCTAGCAGTCTTTGTACGTGTCGTGACATCCTTGAGAAGAGAGTTGTGGGACAAAACTTTTGCTCGTAACAGCTGCCTATTCATAGAAGAAGCCGCCGCAATTGAAGCAGCGCCGTCCGAATTCTTCTTGTCGCCTTGATCTCGGAAGAAGGGCTGGTTCTAAATCTCGTTGACTTCAATCTTCTCAGCGCCGTCTGACTTGTTCTTGTCGCCCCAATCTCAGAAGAAGAGCTGGTTCTCAATCTCGTTGACTCCAATCTTCTTCGTTCGGTTGGCGAACCCAAGACTGCTGACTGCTGAGTTGCCCCATTGCTGCCACTTTCAGATATTCTGAGCCGCGGTGTAAGTTGACGATGAATTTGTGCCAATCTTCGGTTGCAACGTCGAACCGCCAGAAGAAGAACCTTGCGTCGATTACGGCAATGTACCTGCAATTTTGCATCTTTTCGGTGAGGTCTTCTCGTCGAGGCAGCAGGCAGGAATCCTTTAGCGAAATGCTGTTGAGTCGCCGAATGTCTATTACGCCTCTGGGTTTCCGTGTAGCGGTGCTGTTCGCTTCGATGATCGTACGCCATGCGAAGAAACAAGGCCATCGGAATGGTAAGAAGGTCATGGAATGTGCCATTTTGCCCTGCTCGTATAGCTTGTCGAAGCTTTTGTCGATGGTCTCACGATTCTGAGCCTTCGGAGGATTTACTGGAGTGACTTGCATTCATTCTCTCGTCCCGGCGCCAGCGGGATTTTCATGAAGCGATCCGATGTTCCATCTATTGTTGCACCTCTACCTCTCCACAGATTGCGAAACTTGGCGACTTCTTCAGGCATCTCTCGGTGCTGCATGGTCTGGGTTCACTGGTTACTCCGTGCTGTGTGACAGATGCTTCCCCCAAAGCAGCGGAACCTGGTTCGCCTCCTGTACTTGACTTTTGCTCCTGCGAGATTTTTATGCATTAGGAAGGGTTGCTTGATTGTTCTGCGCGCCGCCTGCGTGGTTGGTCTGGGCGTCTTGCGCTGAGCTTTCTTGGTATGAAAAACACTTGGGCTCTGACTTCTGCTTACTCTCCTGGTCGTCGCAGACTCATCTGAGCATAGTGCTGCGCAGCCAATTCTCTTGATCGTTCTCTGGCACGGTGCCGAGTTTTTGGCTGTCGGGAGTACCTCCGCACTTGCACCATGTCGAAGGCTGCGTCGATGATGTGCTTGCATATTATGCCGCCATGTCTAATGAATGGTGTGCTTTCCACTGGAACAAACTCGTAGTCCTGAGAATGGTCATCCGTTTCCGCAGCCTTACGCATTTTGATTCTCACGCACTGTATCGTTCTCGGGGGCAAGTGTGTTTCTTATTGCTCTGACTGCGAAGCGTGCCAGTTCCTTCGCTTTCGGGGTGACTGGTATTGGCATTTTGGCGTTCTCGTTCCTTGGCATTGTAATCACTTTGCGCCCAAGATCGATTTTGAAGCCTATTGGAGTCATCCCATCCATGCCGAGAAGGAGGTTGTGCGGGAAATCTTTGAAAACTTGAACAGGCCAGTCAATATACGCCAAACAGAATTCGTTGTCTTGATTATATACTGGAAAGCCCATCGCTACGCGCCTCCATTTGTCGTTGCTCTTGAGACCGCGAACTTACCACAAGATCAAGCGTTCCGGCATGCCTTCCCGGCCGAGATTGGAGGTGAACCAGTCTTCATTGGCCATAGATGCTGTGTTGCCGGTAACGATGCACATTCGCTTCACGTCTCTGCATTCAGGATCCAATGCGCACATTGCCTCGAACATGTCGTCGTTTCGATGTTGTATTCCGGTTGCACTGGGTCGACCTGAACGCTGCCTGGGATAATTTGCAGGGAGTATTGTGGCCAGTGCATCGACTGGCCTGTGTCGATCGGCTGCGATGAATGAACGGATGTAGGTGCGCCTATGGCAGAACTTGACATCTCGCCTCCGGTTGCGAGGACATGGATCGCGAAGTCGACCTTCGAATCGAAGCTCTCTGCGGAGTCGCTGCCGACACCCTGCGCTGATGGTGTGAGTATGCCGGTGATGGATGGCTGAAATGGACATTGGGCTGCAAACACGTTCTGCGTGCAGTTGCTGTGATGCTGCGGTAGCGCACATTGCGATTCCGTGTGCGCATTTCGATGTGGATGAAGCTGATCCCTTCTTGCGGATGTCTGTGCTTGCGGGTGTCTGTGCGTGCTGGTGTGTTGACTCTGTTGATACGGTATCGCGGTGTCATCTGGTGGCCAGGTGCCGGGCGACTCATGTCGAATTTCTCCGTGGTGCTTGGCTTCTCCTGGTGTTGTGATTGTATTGTCGCCATAACCGGAGGTGACCAGGTCACTCACTTCCGGCTGAGGAGTTTCCCGACTTTCACCTGAACCAAGTGGATCTGATCTTGTCGAGCTCCGCTGCCCACCTCGCTGATATGGCGACATTCTCTCGCGCGGGCCGTACTGTCCCTTGGGACAATGTTCTGTCACATGCTTCATGACTTGCGTTCTGCTCCTATACACTACTGCGCACATTCTGCAGATACACCTAGGATCAAGTAGCATGTCGCCTGCATCATCTCTCGATGGAGTGAGCTTCTCTCTTGGCTGTAGCTGTCGCCCGACGTAGAAGTTTGGGAAATGATCTCGTTGTGCGATTGTCTCTTTTGGTTGGCCAGGTGGAGTTCCTTCTGCAGCTGGTGCGCTAGGGCTACGTCGACCCAGTACCTGTTAGTCTGGGCGAGCTCATGGTCCTCTTGATTCTCGTAGAGGTCCTGCTCGCCATTGAAACTCGGATCGCTTCCATAGCTGTCGCAATTGTCGCTGTCTTGGGCGTTGTAGTATGAGACGAGGTGATCATCATCCTTGTTGGTGAAGCAGGAGTTCACGATGAGCCCGTTGTCGTGGTGGTACTGTATGAGTTTCTGGGGTTGTTTTCATCGTATTCTTGGACGCTGCCAGCGGCAACAGCTAGCTGTGGCTTCGGCGCTGGGAGAGTCGGAACTTGTGCGTTTCTTGGTTCATTTGTGGTGGGTGCGGAAATGTCTGCCCACGACATGTGCGTCTGCCATAGCCGCGAGTGTAATGCTTGGTGTTAGGATATTGTTGGCTGCTGTGGCTGAAATCCAAAACCCAGAGCTTTTGCCTCGGCCGTGGACTCCGCAGCCCTTCGTGGGCAGAAGGCCTGGGTCGACATACCTACCCTGCTGCTGGTTTCCCACCGCTGAATGAGAGTACCCAACTGCATATTGCTGAGGTCCATATCGTGGATCTCGCATGAAAATCTGACGCCAGGTGAAATATTTCTCTTGCATGTTCGCGATGAATTGGCCCATTGTCGTCTCCTGCGAAAGGCGCGTGACGTCGTTGCGAATGTCGGGATGAATCCTGTCCCAGGCGTCGATCGGCTCGCCGGGCTCGACCGCTCCACGATCTTTGTGCTTCTTGCGCCATGCTGTATGGACGTATTCGGTGACATCGCGGCCCATGCTGACGTCGATTCCGAAGCGCTCGCAATGCTTCGGCGGAGTCCATGCCAAAACGCTCGTGCAATCGCTCTCCTCCATACGCCGATGCCGAAACCCCAGTGAGGCTTCGTCGAGCGTGGAGTGATGTATGTGGTGAACCAATCCCCAGCGTGGTGGATGAGGCACTGGAAAAGGTTTCGACGCAGGGTGCCGGCTGAGTATTGCTCCATCCGCATCGCCATCTCCACTTTGTTCGTGAAGGCTACTACGTTTCTGAGATACTGCACACCTTTCCAGTTGATCTGTGGACCTGGTCCATATTGGTCCATTGGCAGATGTGGATCGACGAAGCCGACAGAGTCTGGGCGGAAGTTTTGTTGGCGGTGTTGGCTGTAGGGCCATGAAAATGGGTCCCGCATGGCCCAGGGCTGTGTCGATTGGAGTGGCTTGCATTTGTAGGCTGTGGGGAGGTTCGTGAAAGCGCTGTCCTGGCTGAGCGTCATTTCCGTCTGGCATTTGGAAACCGCCAGGTCTGCGTCGAGCGTCCTGTACGCTGTAGTGGCTTGCGTCGACCGGCGGGCGACTTTCTTGACATGGCTGGTGATATTGGCAGCCGCTACGTGGGCTGTGACTGCTGATGTCCCCTGTGATCTCTTGCGCTCGAGGTCCGCGTATCTTGTGGTGCCATCACTTGGGCGAGCAGCTTGAGGCTATTGCCAGTGCATCTCACACTATCGCGTATGTCCATGACCCGCTTCTCCTGCCGGCCATGAAGGCCATTGAGTTGCTTGAGGTACACATTCTCTCCTATGAGATTGTATTTCTCCATCTCCTGCTGTTCAATGCGCTTGGCCATCTCCTGCTGCGATTGCTTTTCGGCCCTTTTCGGCGCGGGTGCGTTTTCGCGTTGGATGCAGCTGCGCTGACACTTGTCGGGCTCCTGCTCATCACACCATGCGTCCTCAGAGACTTCGGGTCAGGCTGTATCAACTCGGTCTTCGTCTGAGACTTCCCGCACTGCAGGCTGGGATGTTCAGCTTGCAGCTTGTCTGCGGCTGAAGAGGCTGTACTGTGCAGAAGCGCTCTTCGCGGGCTCATTGTCGCAGCCTATGATACCATCCATCTCGGGTTTTCTCGCGGCGGGCTTTCTCGCGCTCTTGGGTGGGCTTCGTGGAGTTTGCAAGGAGGTGAGTTGTCAGTCAGCAACATATCACCATGCTGCACAGTCGGATAGCACCACGTCTCGACGACCGGTCGGCGCAGAGTTGCCATTCGAGAAGCGTTGTCGATATCTTTGCGAGTATCCAAGCTCGCCGCAAAGAGGCGTAGAGTCGAGTGGTGCATATCGTATCAAGTCGGGATTTCCAGGCCGGTTGGTGGTATGGCTATTGGTCTGCCCGGAGGCTGAATCTGCATTGGACTGCTCTTCTCTCGCTGCAAATTGGGTACTGACCTTGCAAGTTGGTCTTCCAGTATCGGATGCGTCTGCCGGAGTGACATCTTGCTTTAGATTATGCGTGATACCTATGCAGTCTAGTCCGTACCACGCAATGCTTCGTCCTGGTGTTGTCAGAGAAGCTGCAAAATCGAGCTTCCCCAAGCGAGATTGGCTGATGCCCTCGAGGCTTCCCCGAGCTCCAGCTACCCGCCCGAGCCCCAGATCCCCATCAATTCCTAAGTAATACTGAATCAATACTGTGCCTCCGTGCAGTGCGTGAAGCAAGCAAGATGTTATGTTACATTACTATGCGATGGGCTGTACAAGCCGATAGAATTTTGTACATGCGTCCAGGTCAAAAGGCCTGTTCTCCAATCGTGATAACATTGTTGAAGGTCCGAATGCTCCCTCGTACACGTGCAGTGGTGTAGAACTATGCAACCGGATGCAGGATGCACACTCCGTACCGCACACTGAGCCAGATGCACGCTTCCCGCCCACGCCTTCTTCGCCACGACCATCTCTCATCATGGCGACCTCATGTTGGGCATCAAAGAATTTTCCCAAACATCAGGCAACGTGTGACAGATTGGGCAAAGCGATCTGATCTTGCGAAGTACCTTGAGATGGTTTCTAGACAGTTGGGAGAAGACGCAGAGCGAGACCACTCCCTCAAACATTACATTCGTGAACTTCTAGGTATATGCAGTGGGTATCTCATACATTCGCAGCATCTTCATGCACCAACACATTGGGGATCGTGAAGCTCGTAGGGCAGCGTCAAAGCATACTCCGGGTATCATGTCGCAAAGCCATCGTGAAGCATGCACACCATCATAACTCGTCAAAGGCATGCCGAAAAATCATGTCGCAAAGCCAGAAGGTATCAGCCATGTCCGCACCATCAGTTCAGGCCCTTCTCGATGTGCGTCTTCTCGCTCGTGTAGTCAAACCGTCGCAGTGCCAGGTGGCCCAAGAGAGGATTGAGCACGTCCTGGCAGTGCTGAAGGCGTTGGCCAAGCGCTTGACGCGAGCGCACTAATTCCAGTTGCTGCTGGGCGTGCGAGAGGCTGCGCTGCTGTGCTTCGAGAGCGCGCCGAGAGGCTCTCGCCGACTTCTGGTCGGACCTGGCTTGGTCATCGAGGATGCGCTGTTGGAGATGGCCAATCATCTGTTCGGCAGTAGCAATGTCGGCACCTAGGTCGTCTTCAGAGACCTCATCACTTCCAGCATAAGCTCGAGGTTCACGGGAGGTCTCAAGATAGCGAGTGAGACACCAAAGAATGGCGACGCACGTGTCGTGAAGGGTGCCAATGCGAGATACCACCAGACTCAACATCGAACGGACGTGCCGTAATCGCGCGTTTTCTTTTTCCATGTTCGCCAAATAGTCTGTTTCGCGACGACAAGACGTCGGCGCGACAAAGGACTGAGAGGTTGTCTGGCAAAATGCACGAGCTGATACGAGTTGAATTGGGGCAGCTGGACATTCTCGCTCAGCGGCGCGCAGCATCAAAGCCCAAAGTGTAGGGTCAAGACAGGCTGCTGTCAGCTCGCGTGGAGTGTGGCCAGCGCAGTAGAAGGTCGCGATAGCCACAAGGGCGGATGGGTGTGCCTCTGGTGTAATGATTGGAAAGCTGCTGTCCATAGTGACCGAGTCCTCCTCTTCATGTTCCACTCGCTTGTTCATCGAGCCCGAGCCTGCTCTTGTAGACGCGCGTCGAGCAAAGTCCTTCACGCCGCAAAGAAGCTCGTCCGTGTCGAGTGTTTCTGCTTGAGCGGGGACGAAGGCGCGTACGTGAGAGCGAGTGTGGTTCTGGGCATCGCGATCGAGCGTGACGAGTGCAACAGCTGCGAGGCGCGCGGTCTCAGGCTGCGCGCCATTGTCACCAGAGGCAGGCACGAGAATGCAGTATCGCGCGGGAGTGGTGACGTTCTCCCAGAAGGACTCTTCGACAGGCAGGCGAAGTGTTGTGGTAGTCTCGCGGAAAAGTGCCAGCCAGCGGTCGAGTGGTACGCCGTGGTCCACATGCGAACGCGTCACGTCGAGCCCTGGCACATCGACAAACATGGGCGGTTCAATTCGGCGGCGTTGCTGACGCGCGGTCTCGGTGCCGCCAGTCTCTGTGTCTGCTGCTGGGCGTTTGGACATGTCCATAGAACTGCTTTGTGTGTAACCTTGTACGTTGTTTCGGTGGCGTTGTTGTGTGCTGTCGGTTTTGTTGTTGTTGTCGAGTGCTGGCTGGTTGCGGGGGATTTCTGCAGCCGGGAAATCGCCGAAGGAAAAGCGGAAAGCAGCATCGTCGCCGCCGCCGTCGTTCACGTCTCCCATGGGCCCCCCGTTCACGTCGTCTATGGACATGAAAGACGTATCATCGTCGCAAGGTGAATCGAACGTGATATCGCCCTCGTTGTTGTCGTTATCGTTCTCTTTGTGTTTCTCACGGCGGCCTACCTCAATCTCCTCACTTTCATCACCTTCGTCCTGCTGCAGATTCTCCTCGGCCTCATCATTGCCATCTTTACCAGTACCCTCGTTGTCCTTACTTTTATCGCCTGCATCCTGCTGCAGATTCCCCTCGCCCTCATCATTGCCATCTTCACCAGCATCCTCGCCGTCCTTATTTTTCTCGCCTCCATTCTGCTGCAGATTCTCGTCGCCCTCATCATTCCCATTGTTATCAGTATCCTCGCTGTCCGCACTTGTTGAACGTGGCCTTGGCTTCGCTGTGCCTCTCTTGTTCGCCAAAGTAGCGTCTTCAGTGAGCCACTCGGCTGTCTGCGCGCGCGAACCGGTACGCGCTGCCTCTCTGCGCTGTGTTGATGCCTCGAGGAGCGCCGCCCAAGCCGTGTCGCGAGTGTCCCACACATCGCTGAGAGCCTTGACACCGTCCAAGAAGCGTCTCGTGCAGGCCTCCAATCCAAAGATCGCGAAGACGGCAAGCACGTCCCATCCCCAGAATGTTGATCTCCCAAGACTGCGAGCCGCTTTTCTGTTCTGGTAGCTGAGTGAGTCCGCAAATGCTGTGTTCAGACTGTCAATGACGTCCGCGGGAAGTGCAGCGATTACTTCTGTATGAGTGGAAAGAAGCGTCGAGGCTGTTGGTGTAGGTGTCCCAGTTGCGCACTCGTCCTCTCCTTCTGACCCATCTTCCGACTGCTCGTTCTCTTGCCTATTTCGTTCCTGTTTGTCCTGACTGTGGATCGCGTCGTGAATTTCATTCCACCAGAATTCGCGAAAGAGTTGTAGCGCTCCGGAATGAGCTCGTGTCGCAAGGATGATTGTCTCGGCGGTAGTAATCGACTTCGCTCTCATTGCGCGTGCAGTGCAGGTCCGTCTCCGGCGAGCCATGATATGTCCATTTGAAAGATTCTATGGGTGCAACGATGTAGTGCGAGCTTCGATGATCTCAAAGTCGTGAAGCTGTCCGGGGAAGCAAGCCAAGACAACGCCGAGGTACGCGATTGGTGTTGTTGCTACGGAAACAGACCTGGGTCTGCGGCAAAGTTCGCGTGTACACGGCACGCGGCAGGGACTCGACTTTCGGTCGCGTGTATCACGTGCCCTCAGTTGCGTGTACCTATATGCCGGCAGTCTTCTGTCTCGCAGTGATGGCTTCAAGCTTGAACCTTCCACGCATCTAACAGAATCACGATCAGTCTCGTAAATCGGCGCGCTCTTCTCCGGCATTCAAGCTTAACGCAGACAATGGCAATGTTTCGCAGCAGCCGGCCATTCATTGCGATATTCCCTTCTCCGCCGAGAATCTCGCATTTCAGCTGGCTCACTCCTTTGCAACAATATCTGCCTTGGCTTTCCGTCTGTTTAGCTTGACGCGCACGGTGATTCGATGCGAGTTCCGAATAGATCCCGCAATGCTGGGCGAGCCGCATGTCCACGACTTTACGGTTTTACGGCGAATGACTGCGGAGGTGGGTTCATCAAAGTGGGCGGTTCACAGGCCCACTTTGACTTTGACTCACCTCCTCCTCTTCCAACATACTGCACCAATAAAGTTCGTTGTTTTCCCAATCAATCCTACGAAGCCGACTGCGCATTTTGATATGGATATCGCGCTAGAAAATGTTGTTGACGGCGCGCAAGACTTCAGAATACCCGCTCCACGCGACTACCGATGAAGCTTCCAAAGGGAACTCGGATGGACTTATGCCAACAAGTCATTGGCGCTGCGCTGGAGGAACGAGAGGATGAAATGATCCCGGCGGCGATGACCAACACAGGCGATCGCATCATGAACTTCGAATCTGACCTGACGATGCTCCCAATTCATTATTGCACTTTCACCAAGAAAACGGTCGTCTGGTCGCACACGCGTAGATGGCATGCTTTCTAGACAAATTGGGCGTCCGGTTATGAAGGTCTGTATATGCTGCGCTGCGCCAAGAACAGATGAAAACATGCTATGATTTCTTTCCTGCAGCAAAGAACATGCAAGATCTTACCTTGCCGTGAACACGTGGAAAGCGGCTGTGGCACATCCTCGTCCGATCTAGGGTTCTGGTCCTCAAACACCGCATTCTGGAGCATATGCGGCAAGAAGGTCTATTGCTTGTTTGGGAAATCATTCCCGATCACAGCAATCACCTGGATAGACTGCGGCTCTATAAGGAAGGTGCTGTGAGCTCTTTCTTTTGTGTCAAGGCGTTCTATTCTCAACGACGAGCATGGATTTTGGCGCGCTGGAAAAGGTGGTGCTAAGGATGCTCGCGAACTCGAGATCTTGCGGCGTTTGTATGCTGATTGCGTGACATCGCTCAGCGGCATTGAGCAAGTCAATCGTGAGATGTTCATCACGATCCGTGCAAGGAAGTAGGCGAGAGGTAGATCGTCCTGCTCGTAATCATGGCTTGCTGATCTCGTCTGTTAGATGAGAATGTGAGCACGACTTGTGGAGGTGGTTTGACGCGAGAGGTCGACAAGGCATTCGGTCAGATGTATAGTGCCGCCAGTGTTACTGTCGCTATCCTAGCTATTCTAGCCACACCGATGTAGAGCCTGTATGGAACATGCCTCTTATGCTCGCCTTCCGAAGCCTCCAGCCTCGCGGATTTGGACGTCGCGCACGCATTCCCATCGCCTGCATTTCTTTTGCATCTGACCTCCAACTTCTCCCAGCGCGTGTATGCGGCAGATACTCGTCTTCTGGCGTATGAGTTGGAGCTGAGGCGAGGTGGTCTGTACGCGGAGGAAGCTTCGAGGGTGTTTGAGCGATGACTCGAGTGGCTGAAGTTGTCGGGCGACAGGTCTTTCGCATTGTGGTGCATATCGATCGTATTCCACGGCCGCGACTTTATGGTATTTTGGATGATGGCGACCGAAGTTGCGTAGGGCGCTGCAACTGCATTGCTGTCGCTTGGGAGGCAAGGAGGAAGTATATTGGTGCACCGTGCTGCGTGTACAGGATCCCCCGCATTAGGTGGACGAAATCAGGTGGATGGCGCAGGTGGATGGAAAAGGTGGATGGCGCAGGTAGATGGAAAAGATGGATAGCGCAGGTGGATAGAAAAGGTGGATGGAAAAGGTAGATGGAAAAGGTGGACGGCGTTGGACGGAAGCTGCTGTCGGTCCACCCGTTTGGCATTGCGGCTCGCTGACAAGGAAGCGCTTCGAATCCAACGACACAACAACAACTGCATCAAGATCTACACCCGTAGCTTGAATGACACATCGAAGCGGTATCAGGCCACGTAACATACCCAATCAATCCTGTCGCCCGTAACAGACTCTCCCGCGCGAGGACTCCCGAGACTGCGATGATCATATGCATACACACTCCATCGCCGCAATCGCGCATTCCCATCCCATCCCATCCCATCCCAAGCCCTCGGGCAAGACTGCGAGTCCACTGCTGGATCGATACGGTCGTATTCGAGCACTGCGGCCTGCTTGCCCATCGACGGCGAGGCGAGGCGCACGACTTTGGCTTTGCAGCCAGTGCCATGGAACGCCAATTTCGCAGGCGTAGAGGCTGAGAAAGATCAGCCTATGCACTCTTTGCACCATTTGCTATACAATTGGAGCTGAGCTGATGCTCAACGAGCTTTAAGGGCGAGCCGACATTGCCATCAGCCGTATTCAAGTCAAGAAGACTGTCCTGCCGCGTGGTCGTATGGAGACGGAAATGCCTTGCTTAACACACATCTGTGATAGGCTACGGCGCCAGAGAGTGCTCTAGCCATTTTGCATATTGGACGGACATAATGGAAGATACGAAGCACGAATGGGGAGCACCAATGTTCACGCCACTTCAACACTTTTGCGCTGCCTGTCATGATCAGCATAGGACCAGTCACACTTCTCTCCAAAATGTCTGGAACATTCGAGCACTCCGACTGTTCACTCGCTTCACAATTGCGCATGAGCTTCTGCTGATGCCACTGCCGTACTTTCCCCAAGGATTATCATGTCGGCTATGCGGCGGCCTGTCATGACTGCGATACCAAGTCTCAAGCCAAACAGCGATCCGCTGACACACCACGAGCCATCTTCAGAGCTTAGAGTCCTGCATCAACCTCTTCCTTGCCATTCAAGCAGATGAGTTCGGCAGCGAATAAGCCACGTCACGAACCACGTCGGAGCTGGTAGCCGCGATTGGAATCCAGCGCCGCAAGCCTTTCATCAGCACCAGCTCCAGCCGAGAATCGTGCTCGGGATATACGCATGGACATCCAGCATGTCATGTCCCGCAGCCAACGACTCTATGTCTGCAGCTACAGCCTTCCTGGATGAGCTCGAGCCTGCAAGAATGGCACCGATGCTGACTCGATCCCATAGTTACCGAAATTCCGCAAGGCAATGCAAGACCCCAAAGAAAACAACTTCGCCACCCCGGTTACCCCTTAGTCCCAGTGACAGCACGATGCGCGAGCACCACAACATCAGCCATCAAGTCGTCATATTCTCCGTCGTCTTGCAACTACACTTCCTTTCAAGGAGTCGTTCCATACTGAGAGACAGATGTCAAGCAGCTGAGCTGTCGTCCTTTACAGCCTGCGAGACAGAAGAGCAAAGGGCCCGGGCTCTGTCTACCAAGCTTGTTTCACACCATGTCTCCACCGTTCCGCGATCAGGTCGAGGGTCAAAACTCACGGAAGCTGAGCCTCGGAATTTTGGGATTGCAACGCCGCCAGCACAGCTGCCGCTCTGCCGTGGCCAGGTTCCGGTAAGTGTGACAGCTTCGTGACTTCATATGACCCATAGAGGTGGTTCTAATTACTACATACTGGCTGGATGTGGGCTTGCTCACTTCAGACATGATTCTCAAGGCCAACACAATCACAATGAGGGCGTCCGAGGCACCGCCAGCCGCAGGCGCGCCACCTTCGAGGCATAGATTGGCCGAATTGTCGCAGACGTGCCATCAGCTTTCGTGATTCCGTTATGAATCGCGGATCACTGGAAAAAGAAGAGCACGAACGCTTGGAAGCAACCTGTGCCAGACGAGTTCATCCCAGGCGATCCGAGACAACGTCGAATCCACATTCAGCGACCTTGACGAGAATGCAGAAGGTACGACATTCACCTTACCTGGGACCCAAATCTCCTTCTCTTAATCCCCATCAACTCCAATATGCCAGCCAACCGACATTTTCGACTCTCAGCGCGAACTACCTGAGATTATTCCAGACATGGAAACCTGTTTGAGAGCCATAATGCATGCTCGCCAAATTGCTTTTCGCCTGCTGTCCCGCGGGAGGAACGCATGCAGACTATTCAAACGATCTGTACGTTGCATTCAGTGTGGTTGGTGTAGCGTTGCTCAAGCTCCGCAACTGTCATAGCAAAGTATTTGCGCACTGGTTTCAAGCGCTTCGAGCCTGCTACACAGTTCAAGGTTGTGCAATGCTCTTGCGAGGACCCTCTTCTACGCGAAATCGCCACACCCAGCCGCATCCTTGTATTCCCACAGCCTCTCGGATTCTTAGATTAGATCCGCGGCAACTCTACTGCTTTATCAGCGATCACCTGCTTGGTCCGACTTTGTCTATGGGAACCTTGGAAGCTGTTCGGCTGACAGAAGCTACCTCGATCAGTACCATCCTCACGACCCGATACTTATGTGGATCCAGGAACCGTGAAATGGATTGTGGGTAGGTCTTGCAAGCTCGTCTTTCTCTCCAAGCCGACCGAATACACACCGGACAAGGCGGTATTCTTTCTCAATGACGAGCGACACTCAATGCTTGCTAGAGACTCTCATGCGGCAGATGACAATGCTTTCTGAATCTGGCCTCGAATTTCGCGATCAAGACTGGTGCATTGTCGTCGAATGAAGTTGCAGTCTTCGACTTGCTCTGGGTCCTCAGTACTGCACTATCTTCATAATGGTGGAGAAGAAAACACGAACGCTTTGAGTCTCTGGACTCATGTCAGGCTTACACCACATCTCGCACTTGGGCTCAATGCGTGATGCCTGCGCTCAATACGCTTTACACATGCACCCCAACTTCGCTTCATTCACCTGAGTAGACATAGAACATAGCCGATTTTCCACAGCGGTCTGAGCGCAAGAGATCTGTGATGACTTGGCAACAGAAAGCAGAGCTGACCTCGAAGCCGTCGAACGCGTCCAAGCATCAAGTTGCCGTAGTCCCGACATCAACTCGCCTCTCGACAAGTTGTCCGGGATGAGTTCGAAACTCACCACAACGTCGAATCTGATGCCGGCGTTCTCTCTCTGTGTGCCAACAGAAGCGAGAGCTGGCGGATTATTACCGAACTTTGCTTCAGCAGCCGCATTTGAATAGCAACCACTCGCAGCTGAGGTCTTGCCACTGTAGAGCGGCGACCGCAACATTCTGACTTAATTCTAGTCATTCTCCCCGAGAATTGCGAGAAGAATGATCCTGGTTCTCTTGATTACTACCACCCAGCCTTGTGTTGATTAAAGACCGCTTGAAATTCGATTGACAAGCTATCTACTAAGCGTGAAAGACAGTGATCTAGGTGAGTGCACACATGTTGCTCTATACACATTAGCACGGTTGACCTTGGAAAGAGATACAGCATTTGCAGGCAATCCATAAATGAGAATAGCGAGCGTCCGCCCTTCTACGAGCTCAGAAATGCTCGACTTTGACCTCTCACCAATTCCAGAAACTGTCCCCGCTAAGAACATTCCTTGGGTTCTTCCTCCCTCTACTTGGGCGCTCCACTTGTAGGCACGAATATGACTTCCTTCATCTGAATTCGAAGGCTCATTGACTACTCGACCTACGAGAAGCAACACTATGTTCAAATTGGACTGCTCCAATCAAGATGACTTGCCTGTCTACAAGCATAATAATGGCGATACTTCCTGCATCGAGGTCGAAAGCACAGGCGCAGGCTCTTGCGATGCACGACTGTGCAGGTCCCCCAATCCGTTATCGTGCTCAGTATCCTGAAACGACCTTGAGAAGATGCGAGAAAAGATAGCACCACCTATTCAGCGTTCTCACCTCCAAGGACAGCATGTGGAACAGCTACAGCGAGCGGTATCTGTCATGACGACAGGACACACTGCAGAAGCCGCGCTCCCGCTGCAACGGGCTTTGTTTTATACACTACCGATCTTTTCCACTTGCAGCCTCCTCAAGCAGCTCAGCCTGCATCATCGCCAGTTTGACTCGCTACACAGTAACGACCATACAAGGCAAGTAGCTACAACATGCCGCGAGCACCCAACCCACAAAGAAGGATCCCATTCCACGTTTTCATGAAGGTGAAGAACGTTGTGGAACGCCAAACTGATATCTTTGCTTAGAACGACAGCATCGTGCAACCCAGGATTCTCAGAGTTGCCAAACGGATGTTAGCATTCACACCTCTCACAGCCCAGTTCGAACCCGGGTGTGTCAGCAAACAACAGGAGTGTATCTCATCAGATGTTTGGTCACGCTCGTGGCAGACTTCGTTGATCTGACTCGCAGTACGGCTGAGAATTGCAAGTGGCCTGCGCACTTCAGTCTCTTTGCGGCCATGGGATTGGTATGTGAGCCGCCACTACAGTGTTCCTCACGACGAGAATCTCTACAGATCCATGCCGCAGGTTGATGCGTATAGTTGAACCTCGAGAGCGAGACCTGACTGCGCTCGAGAAAACTCCCTTCAAATGAGCGCGAAACATCGAAGTGCCGGGAGAGCAAGTTGAGAAGCAAGCCGTGGGGCAGCAGCGCTAGAATATAGGTGACGAGATGGTAGCTTTTTAGCCAACACCCAGTAGTAGACATCTGCATCTTGGGTGAGGGAAGAAAAAAAAACAGAATGAACAAAGGGAGCCTGTTCCCGAGGGATGCTGGGATACGATGGAGACAAATGGGGAAGATAAGGCCGAGGAAGAAATTGAGAATGAAGAAGAGGAGTCCGTTGCTCCAAAGGATGAAGATGAAGAAGCGGAAGACGCTACAGAGGAGGGCAGCAAAGATGAAAAACTCAGAAGACAGCCAAGAAATGGGGCAAAAAGAAAGACCGCAAAGAAAGACCGCAAAGTCATCGCGCTACCCGGGCGAGGCGAGCTCATCCGCACACCACACCTAGACCAAGAACCGAGGTTCTCTGACATGCTTGGGTACATCGTCTTGCTTGTGATACTCCGCTCCTCGCAGTCAAAATCTGCTTCCAAGCTCAGTCAGCTCAGCACGTTACCGTCCAGGATGGCGATGGTATGCGTGTCATTCAGCTTTCCCTCGTAGCTCCGGCAATCCGGAAGATCAGCATTTCGTCATGCTTGCCATACTCCTCTCCTCGCATTCAGAATCCGCTTCGGGCACTCACAGGTTACTTTTGGCCAGCTTACGGAAGAAGGTTGATTGATTTGAGTCGAGTCCATTGAGAGTATCTTGGTTGGGCTCAATAAGAGCCTCGTCTTCGCTGTATTCGTAACTGATCGGGAGGTGCTCTCCCAGTCCGGTTTCTCGTGATGACTGCGACCGGCTACCCATTTGCTTTCTCGATGTGTGCATTGTAACCCATCGCATTCTGCAACATGGTGGTGTCACTATCGGACGAGCAAGCAGCATAGCCAGCTCTTCACGTAAGTTACCGTTTTTGTGGCTGATCAGGTTGCACTCTCCCAGTCCGGATCCTCGTAATGACTGCGGTTTGTTACTCACTTGTCCTTCGATGTGTACACTGGGGGTCATCGCATACTGCAACATGGGAATGTCACCATCGAACGAGGAAGCAGCATCGCCAGCTCTTTACGCAAGTCACCATTTCCGCGAGCGTCACTAGCACCCTGCTCGGTGGCTGGCTTCTTGCAGCGCTTGGAGACGTGATGTTGCTTTTCGCAGTCGGCGCACTCGACCTTGGACCAGTTGGTCGGCATGAGGCATAAGGCATGAGCAGTCGCAGCCAGTATGACCAGAGTCTTCGCAATTCCAGCCCTGTATCATAGCCATGATGTGCAGCTTCTGGACACTCTTTGCTCGTTCGGCGGGGCTTGTAGCAGCTTTGGTGCTGGGGCTGCCCTCGAAAGATGGAATGGTTATCCTTGCGATGACCCTCCTTATCGCATCTGCGGCAGACGTGGCGATACAGGTCATTTTCAATTCAAAGATTGAAGCTCGTTCGGCGGGACTTGTGGCAGCTATGGCGCTGGAACTGCATATCGAAAGATGGCGCGGTAATTCTTGCGATGATATTCCCTGTCGCATTGCGGCAGAGGTGGCGAGACGAGTCCTTTCCAAGGCAAAGACTGGGGAGCTTTGTGCCGTCGCCAAAAATGTATCCCAGATGGAAAAAAATTGTTCGAGATGTGCAATGTGAGTATGTGCCCAGCCGAGGGAAGCCACCTAGTCTATCCACCTGTCAAACGGAGTGCGGACTTCATCAATTTCCCCCAGAATCATCTAGATGTAGATCGACACAGGCCGCAAGATTCTGTCAAGCTTCTTTCCGGACATCGCCATCTTCACATGGTTCCAAAACCTTATCTCCGGATGTGACACACCTTTAAGTGTCCTAGGCGCAGCAGGATGAGTCTTCATCACCGCATGCGCCAGTTATTCGATGCTATTGGGAAGCACGCTGTCGTCCGGTGCAGCTCCGAGACCTCGACTCCGCTTGGAATGAGAGGATCCTCGTGTGCGATGTAGCCTACCCGCGAGGAACATTGCAGAAGCAGGGAATGCCTCGACGGCAGCCCATGGAACAGCTTTGCCGCAGTCGTGGACACAATGTCGTCAAGAAACATTTGACGTTTTTCAAAGCTGCCACATATTGAGATTTTGTGGCTTGTTGTGCGGACACGAGAAATGCTGCGGCTCGGGAATGCTGACCTTGACGGTCGCCGGCCAAATCCTTTCCACGCATATCAGAGTGACGGACCAATGTGGAGTGGGTGGAGAGCAGTATGCCAGGCTGGTAGCTGACCTTGATTGTCGCCGGCCAAACTTTTTGCAGCGCCTACCAGAGTGGTGGCCTGGTGCTGAGGGTGTGGAATGGGTGGAGAGCAGCGTACCAGCCTGGTGGGCGGCCTTTTGACGATCTTCGGTGGCGGCGGAGTATCGTGACCGCCTTGCTGATCCATTTTATCCTTTCGCCATTCCTTCGCAGTCCTCGCATTCGGCCATTCTCCCAACATCATGTGGGCTTTCAATGTAGCAGCAATTCCGAGCTCGCCAAAGACCATCCAGTTGGAGAGCTCGTGCCTTGCAGTATCGTACTGGCTTCGGTGAGTTTTCACCGAGAATCCTGCAGTATAGAGCTCAGTGTTGACAAGAAGGGAACGGAAACAGTCTGCTGGTAGTCTCGCCTGGCCTGGAGAGTGGGTTCATTGTATTGCCGAATGTCGCTCGTTTGCATCGTTGCTATCCCACATTATCCTTTCCTCGATGAATTCCCTGTCAAAGTAGGTTCGTGGGCTGGAAGACCATTTGATCTGCGCTGGACATACCTTGAATGACAAACAGCATTCTCCGCTGGCAGTCCCTCCAAGTCGCATACATCGCCGGGAATCCTTCGTCGGTGCTTGGTCCGAGCGACTCTTCGGGCATATGCGGGTGCCTGTCAGTATACTTTGGAGGAATTTTCCGTGCTGTTGGATCTGATGTTGGACCAAGTGGACACTTCGTGATGGAAAATCAGAAACAACTTCATTGCTCGATGTTGGAGCGTGCGGGTCCGCGCAAGCATGTCTTGGTGCGATGGCAGCCTTGTGATTGTTGTGAATCCTATCCATGAATGGAGCATGCACATGCGGCGGCTGCTGGTGTACATGCACGGGATGTACGAACCAAAAGCTGGATCGTCGCCCTGTTGAGCCGACCCATCCAAAGGGAACAGATCTCCGAAGCTGATGTCCTCCCACTTGACAGCCTTTTCTCCACCTCCGGTCCGCACCACAGGCAATCCACCATCAAGCTCATGCTCCCTCAATGCCGCCGCCAACTCCTTACCATTTTCGGTGTTCTGTGGATTTGCATCGCGCGTCTCCACGTCAACCTTCCAATCCCCAAAGACCTCAGATAGAATCATGCTCTTTCTCGGCGCCCATGAACATGGTCAAGGCTGACCAACTTGTGCTGTGCCAGCTCGCTTGATGAGAAAATCACCTGCTCCTCGCGTGCCTGAGCCTCTCGAGCTCGTGGTTTCAAGACGGAGGACCTTGGTTGGTGACCTTGTCCTCTGCCTTCGTCATTGTCTCTGCCTTCGCCGTCTTCGTATTCGGATTCTGCTGCCATTCCTGGGGGAGTGGTACGGTAAGATGGGCGCGGCGCGTGGCGCCAACAGTGGTGTAGTGGCCACGGTGAGCCATTGGACGTGGAATCGGTCGCACTTTTGCGCAATGGTGGCGCGTGGCCAGTATGAAGCACCGGCGGCTTTCTCATCGCTTTGGGCTGGCTCGTTGTTCTGTGCTGCTTTGCTGGATTTGGCTGTTTTGTTGCGGTCAGCCGTTTCGATGCTCTCGGCCTCTGCGTCGCTGTCAGCCTCTCCACTGCGCTCAGCTTCTTCGCCGCTCTTACCCTCTTCGTTGCTCTCAATGTCACCATTACCCGCATTGGCTGTGCTCGCTTGAGACGGGCTCCGGTAGGCGTCTTCTTGCGCGAGTACTGCTGCATCTTTTGACGCTTGTCTCGTCAACGCCTCCATCTCCGGTTGCTGTAGTGCGCTTTCGTCCACTTCGTCGCAGCTATGACGGGCTGGCTTCCGTCACAGGCGCTCAGCGATGAAGTGCGCTGATGATTGGGCAATATCTTTTGCGTACAGAAGATAGACCGACATTGTTCCAAGACCACACCTCTTTCTCTTCCATGCTACTACAGCGGACCTCCGCCGGGAGTAGCGTCCTTGGCAATCTCGCAGTCCTGCTGTCGTGTACTTTCAGAGAAAGCGCCGGCGCCGAGTTTTACGGCGATGTATGTTGGAGCGACTGATGATCAGTTCATGGACTGCGATGAGAATGATGAGTCGAACAGAGTGCGTGAGAAGCAGCTTTGCTCGAAGTCGATGTGGGCCGGTCGGCGTGGCTCACTGATTCCGCTGACCATTGCTCGCCGTCGTGCAGCAGCGAGTCGTTTCTCGCTCATCTACGAACATCGCTCGCCATGATGCCCTGTATCGGCATGTGTTTCCTGTCCGACATTGGCATACTCGCCTTCATGTCCATGTCCATGCTCGTCCTGTACTGTCCCTTGTGGGCTTGCACTTGCGCGCCGCCAAGACGTCGAAGCTGTGGGTGCTGGTATGTAGTGGACTCGTGCTGGGCAATTCGACGTCATGTGAGGCGATGCGATGCGATTCATGCGGTGATGTGGTGGCGCTATCGGGGTTGATTGTGGTTGACGTTTCACTCGAGTGTGAAGGTGTCTTGGGTGTTGGCCGCTGTCCGGAACGACGCGGGGGTCAATGCATGTTCGCGAACACGAATACGAACAAATGGCCTGCTGAATCGCGAATTTCCCGACGAGCTTTTGATTACTTTATTTCATGATGTCCAGCTATACCGTTTTAGCAATCATATGTCTATCTCGCTAGGCCAACTCTTCTCCTCTAGTCTTGATCCTTCCTTGCCTGTTCGCTTGATGATGTTCAACCTATCTTACTCCCATGTCCTCCATTTCCAGAGTGCTTTCTCATTACTGCATTCTATGCCTTTACTCTAAAAGAGCCTTCTCAACCTCGTCCAATACCCATGCAGCAAGTGTCCGGTCCTTGCTCTTGCGTCGCTTTGGCCTTCTCTGTACGCCACCGGTCATACCATTTTCATGACTCTCCGCCTCGTATGTTACCTTCTCTTTCCCATGTAAGTCCTGAAAGAGACCTTCGTCAGTCCTGCCTGAGAGGAAGTTCGTGCCAGACCAGCTGTTCAGAATCGAGGCCCTACCTTTTTCAATCCTCGTACCACCTCATCAAGCCTTTGCAGTTTCTCAAGATAGAAGTCTCGTTCGCGCTCAATGCAGCATGTCTGCTCGATAGAGTGGGCTGGGATTGCTTGTTCAGTTGCACTCTCGTCATCGTCCACGACCCATAGGCCAGACGAGCCTTGGAAGGAAGGGGCCGTAGTCAGAACTCGGCGCTCGGTTGCGAGGAGAGGTTGACCAGAGTTTCGTTTCTCGAGTGGTGGTTTAGAGAACTGAACGAACTGGTTCTCGCTAAATGTGTAGCAGCTACGATCGATTCTGGGCCCGTAGTAGCATCTACAGCCCCAGATGGAGTTTGAGCACCCGATGTTGGCCATTTTGGCTTTCGGACGGACTTGATTGGTGCAAGTCAGGGCGCTGATTGCTTTACTGAGTGAGCCGATCTCGATTGGCGCAAATCAGGGAGCTGATTGCCTTCCTGAGTGAGCCAGCTTCGAAGGTGTTGACAAATGGTTGTGAGAGCTTTACTTCTTCGTGTTCTGGTCGAGAGCCGTATTGTTTGTTAGTGTTGATTGTTGAACATGGCAGAAAGAAGGTGCACAGAAAGTGCAGACTGGAAGGTGGCATAGCAAGCCGAGGTGCAGTTGCTGCCCTTTCCTCGCGATTTGATGCCAACTTTGGATGACGAAAGCAAGCATATCGCTGTTGTTGAGTTGGCGGTCGAGCGGCTTGTCCTTAGCGGAAAGCAGCGTGAATGGGTATTTCGAAAGCGTTGAACCACGCGCGAGGTCAGACAAGAGGATATGACCGCGGCGGCGATGGAATTTCTGTCATGTTGACGTTCGTTTCCAGTCCTCCAACGCTTGGGATATGTGGTATGTGATCAGGAATCAGCCCAGCGCCCAGGCTGATTGAATTCTGCTACAACCAAAGTACCAGGACTCATGTTGCTTCATTCACTCTTGAAAAGGCGCAAAGAGTCAGAGAGGGTCAAACAAGTGGCGGCATAGAAGTTGGGTTTGTCTCCGAAGCGTGTGATTGAGGATCGATTCTCCTGGCAGAACGTCCGCAAGGTCCTGCTGCTGCAGACTGACTGCACCCTTGTGGCGGCTCGACTATGCGATCACGGCTAAATCGCAAGGCAGCCTTTTACATGCGGAGAAAGAAAGGACTGAGCTGTAGGACTTGCAGTCCCTGGCCAGGTTTTCTCGTACGATGCCGTGTTCACGAGCGTGGCGCGGAGGCCACGTTCACCACGCAGAACGACGCCAGCGAGTCCTGTGAATCTTGACCAGCCCGCAACTCCACGACGGAGTGGTCAAGTCTCGATTGCATTGGCGGAATCGCGCATTGTTGGCTATCGTAAGGTGGTTCTGTTTCGTCCAGAAGTACTGAAAGTCGGTCTGCTAGCTTGTGAGAATGGCGCGAAAAGCTGGCGTTTGGATGTGCGAAGACAGCCACCTCTCTTCTGCATGCCGAGACCAAAGGCGGACCTGCTTCCTGGCCTGTTGCTGGCCAGTGCCAGACGAAAGGGATGTTGGAGTCCCTTTTTCTTTCTCCGCTCTGCACTTCCATCGCTGTCCAGTGCCAGACGAAAGGGATGTTGCAGATCATTCTTCTGTCTGCGCTTGCATCGTGGTTCGGGCTTTGCCGAAGATACCACTTGACTTGTGCTCCACGTGAGGCTTTGCTGAGTTTGCCTTTAGGAAAGAGGCGACTCACGAGGATTTGTTTCCAGCAGCTCCGATCAAGGTTGCACGCTCCGGCAGACACTGATGCATTTCCTAAGACATCCGCCGATCTCCTGGCGTCCACAGTGGGGATGATTGAGCTGTGCTCAAGCTTGAGCTACTAGAAAAAGCAGGCAGTATCAGGATCCTTGTTTCCGCGAACTCAAGAGCCTGGGTGTATGACAGGCCGTTCCGCTTCAGGTAGCCTTCAACATCACGCGAATCAATGTCGTCGCCGTCGACGTTTTTGAGTATGCCCTGACCTTTGAGCAGCGAAGATGTTCGACAAGCTGCCACGGATGTGCCGTGATGCTGCTCGAGTCCGATGTTCTGCACGTACCGAGACAGCTTCGAGATGTATCCAGACGTAGTCATTGCCATTTTCAAAGAGCGTGTGCCAGCTTCTCGTCCGCGCGAGTCCGGTATGCCACAGTGCTCCGTACGCCACGCATCAATCCGCAGCTATTTTGCGAGTCCAACTCCACCTCCAAGCATCCCCCTTCTCACCAGCAACCGCATCTCCGTCGATGGTCAATGCCCAACGATGCGCGCTGTTGTTGCGTGCATGCCGCATTGCTTGCTGGTATTTGTTCAACGCTGGGACTCTGCCAATGTCGGTGCTTGGCGTGCAGGGATTCTCTCTTCCGAAACTTTCCAAGTCATCCGCACTTCTTCTCTTTCTACTCAACACGGAATACACCCACCGCACACCCATAATCATGGCTTCTGCAGTACACACAATCTGATGATTTTTCATCCCATATCGAGTGGGACACACACGCTGCTGATCCCGGATCGAGTGGGACACACACGCTGAAGATTTGCTTCTCCCGGATCGATTACGGGCACACACACTGAGTTCCTCGTTTCCTGGCATTCATGGAGGGCAGGCCGGGCACACACGCACCGGATTGGCTTCGGATTATCGATTTTGGACAGCAACCCTCCCCATGCTTCATTGCAGGTCCAGATCCAGGTCACTTGTCGCGATCAAGAGTACCAATTTTGATTGACGTACCAGCAGCAACATTCCCCGAAAACTTGCTTACTCTTGCTTTGCGGCCATTGAAGAAGAGCTGGACAGTCTGGGATTGGCGAAGAACTGAGCACTCTGATCCCGTTCAAGAGCTGAGCAGTCTAGCTTTATTGAAGCGCTGAGCAGTCCGCCTAGAGATTAGAGCTGATGCGACTGGGTAGACAGGAACCGGCTCACCATGCTACCACCCACTCATGATTGGAGCAGTCGACTTGATACGGATGGAACTGAAAGACCTTGCCGTCCGCTCATCTCCTCCGCGCTCAGATCTGCATGCATGAGGCCGGCAATGCTGCTGATCGTTTTTCATAGCACTTCCAGAGTCTGCATAAAGCAAGCTGAAGGTCTGATCGTCCGGATGTCCTGGAAGCGCTGCGGTCTTCCTGAATGGAGCTGAAGATGTTGCTAATCGTCTGGTCATCATTGAATCGCTGCCGTCCTCCTGAATGGAGCTGAAGATGTTGCTGATCGTCCGGTCATCCTGGAAGCGCTGCGGTCTTCCTGAATGGAGCTAAAGATGTTGCTGATCGTCTGGTTATCCTTGAATCGCTGCCGTCTTCCTGAATGGAGCTGAAGATGTTGCTGATCGTCCGGCTGTCCTGGAAGCGCTGCGGTCTTCATGAATGGAGCTGAAAATGCTGCTGATCGTCCTTCATAGGTACACCGATAATGATTTGGTATGCGGAGCTTGGCTTTCCAAGGCACTGGCAGTAGAGACTGTTGATGGTAAGGCGCAAGATTCATTGATGATGTTGATGCCTTGCGGGCGAACACGGCGGGCATCGGCAGAGATGTGATTGTCGATAGCCCATGCTCATCTTGGCTTCCCTTGGTATGGTCTTCATCAAGGTACTGAGCCTTCACACTTCGACAAAGTGCGAGCATTTCGTGAAGGTTAGTTTTTCTACTGGATTTCGCCAGTTTGTGTTGCCCTTGGCCGCTCTACAGGCCTTCTGGAAGCTCATCGAGCCAGGAGTCCAGGTGGGTATCAACCCAGTTCTTCAATCGGTTATACCGGGCCCGGTCACCTCGCCGCTCCTGTACCCGAAGGCGGCGCTGCACAGTCGTCCTTAGCGTTTCCGCCAGAGGCCGAGGAGGAGGAGGAGGAGGAGGCGGCGGCGGCGGCGGCGGCGGCTCTGAGCTTGAGCGTGGAAGCGGGAGAGACGAAGGAGCCGGTGGCTCTGAGCTCCGCTCGGAGCGAGGGAGAGGGAGAGAAGAAGACGACGACGACGACGACTCTGAGCTCCGCTGGGAGCGCGGAAGCGGGAGAGAGAAGAGGCGGGGAGGCGGGGAGGAGGGCAGCGAGCTGACCAAGCTCTCGAAAGTCGACGAGCCGGCGCCGAGGAGGTCGTCATCTTGGCCGCCTCGACCAAGTTCGACGGACGGAGAGCGAGCGCCAGACTGAGGCGGAGGCGGTGGAGGAGCTCGAGCTCTCTCGATCTCGGCGATCATATTGCCGACATCACCCGGCTTCACCTTCACCAGCATACTCTGCGTTCTCTGCAGCCGAAGCTGCACATTCAGTGCCAGCTGTGCCGGCAGTAGGCCCCCCTGGCCAGGACTTATACGAGCCAAAACAGCGAGCTTCTCCAGCAGCGAGATCGAAAACCGTTCCGGAGTATAATCAGTACCCCGAGGGGTCACAAAACGAAACAAAAAGCCCGGCCAGTTCTCTAGCACCACGTCCTTAGCCCGACGCTCCTTTCGAGCAGTCTCCTGCTTCCCAACGATGACGGCGTCAAGCTGCTCCGGAAATTCCAGACCAGCTCTAAAGCCTTGAGCGGCGATCCGGTTCTGCGAATTTAAATACTCCCAACAGAAAAACAGCTGCCAGGACTGCTCGCTGTTCGATTTTAAATTGTTTTTAATGAACTGCTCGCAAAAATTCCGACGCGCTTGTTCTCCTCGCCCGGCCAACAAAGACTCCACTCGTGCTGCTGCTGCTGTTCTGTCGGTCGCCATTTTGTGTGTGTGTGTGTGTGTGTGTGTGTGTGTGTGTGTGTGTGTGTGTGTGTGTGTGTGTGTGTGCGTGTGCGTGTGCGTGTGCGTGCGTGTGTGTGTGTGTGTGACTGTATTGTACAAACTACACACGCTGTACTACTCCTCTCCCTTTCCGTCTCTCTGCGCAACTACATGTAATTCTGCTTGACACTTTCCTCCCATCTTCGTTCAAATGGCAGGCGGATTACTTCTGTGCTGCATACTTTCCGGCACTCTTGCCCGGCTTCGTTCGTTTCGTCTCACAGCGCAACGAAGTTGATGTAGGTGCCTACCTTGACATATTCATTCGAAGAAATGGCAGGTGGATTACTTCTATGCTGTCGACGAAGCCTACCAGTGTGCTTTCCGATCCTGTTGCCCGGCTTCGAAGTTCGTCTCGCAGTGCAACGACATTGATCTTGGTAGGTCTTGCTATGAATTCGAAGTTCGAATCGCAGGCGGATTACTTCCATACTGTCGCTCTTGCTGGACCAAACACCCGTGCAGAACTTACGCTGCTTGCTGGCTGGTCAAAACATTTGCGAAAATGCTTACGCAGACCTATCCGCAGTGTCGGGGGAGGAAGTTCGACGACATCGCAGAAGCTCGGGGGAGATGTTACGACCGCTTCGAACCCATTGTCACCTGGCATCGTGCTTGAGTTGTGATTGACATCTGCTGCATATGTCTCAGACGATGCTGATTTTTCTGCATTTGCTTACCGCATGTTGCCCAAGTCGAACCATGACGTTGGAACTTGTGGCATGGGGCTCTTGGCTCCCAATCAAGTTACAGTAAAGTTGTCGAGCCACAGGCATGGTCAGGGTATGCTGATGCTTACCGCCAACAAGATCAAGAATGGATGGAACGAGGCACTTCTCAAAACAGCCGCTATGGGGGTTTGCCATTGCCATCCTCGAATGTGCATTGATGTGCAGTGGTATGAATCTGATGCCGAACAAGTGACGGCATGGGCGAGACTGCTCTGCGTGTGTTGAATGGAGTAGAGAAGTCGGTTGTGATGATCATGAAAAGGTCTCCGGAAGAAGCTGAATCGTATTGGAGTCATGCGGCAGTCCATGAAGGTACTGAGACTGGTAGAATCGATATCGCAATCCCCTCCCTGCCAACATGATACCGAAGATATTGACATTCGTGGGAGCAATGGTGTCTTCAATTGACCAGCCATGGGCGAGAACTACATTCTCGACGACTCGGGCACTGGAATCCTCTGTCCTGGAATCTTCTAGGCAGTGAAAATGCTTACCGATGCTATGGGCTCCCTCGACACTTTTCTCTTCTCAACCCTGGTACAAAACTCTCTCAACCTCTTTCAGGACGGTTTCCCATCCCATCCCATCTCGAGTGAGCAAGGCATACTGGCTCTGGCCGCGTTGGGACTTTGATATTCCATCGACGGTTCCGCTCCGTGTGGCCTGCCTTCTTGAACTTCTTCAGCACCTCTTCAACGTCCTACAATCTCCGAAATGCCAATCTCTCTCTCTCTCTTTCGAGACGGTCTTGCGTCTCTTTCTCCATGCGCTTCAACTTCTGCGCTCGGAGGTCATCGCGCTCGGGCTCGGCCGGACGATTGGTGTGGTCAACGGGTTGGAGCGAGGTTTTGTGTACGAATTTGCTGAGAAGGGATTGACCGAGGAATGTGACGATGTTCGTGGTGCGCGAGTCTTTGAACTTGCGAAGATTGTGACCGGATGCAAGTCGTCTTGAGATGGCGCTGGCTCTGATGGTGCTTTACGTGTGAGTATTGAGACTGTGAAGCAGCAAGAAAAGCATCATTGCTTCTGTGGTGTATGCCATCGACGATATCCTCATGCGCGCGAAGCATACATGTATTGCCTGCCTGCCGGACTTGTTGTACCTCTGGCGCTTGCGAGATGCGCTCCTGTGGTGAAGCCTCGGCTTCGTGGAGGCGTCTCTCAAGCAAAGTGCGGTGCGCCTGGGGCCTCTTGTGCCATGCTGTAGGGCGAAGAATGCGCTATTGTCATCTCGGTAGATCTCATGGGAAGGGCGTCTGGTAGCAGCAGGGCGGGAGTGGTACTGTCATCACGTCCCCATTGGCGTTGTGGACTTGGTCATTTTGCTTGAACTTGAAATCGGACTGTCGGAGATCGGAAGAGCGCGCGAGACCGAAACCGAAACCTAACTTTCGGCCAAAATGCCGAAGGCTCTGCTCTCCTTCACATCGCGAACGAAACAACGATGATTCTGCAGTACACCAGATGGATCTGCTCTGCAACCGCCGACCGAACTTCAACTCCACCGAAAATTCTGGCTTTCCTTCCTTGATCCACATCGCTCGGCTTCGCCCCGTCTGCCTCGATCCCATGTCTCCGCATATGTCTCGCACCGCTACATCCAACCTTTGCTGCCCCAGTACGAAAGGACGTCAGCTGGTCGATAGCTGAGGAGAAATTCCAAGTCATGGGGCGAACAGTGCTAGAGTTGGCGTTGGGCAGGCCTTCCAATGTAGCCTTCGAGCCATGATACATCGAGACATGACCGGATTCAGATGTAGGACCGAGTCTACCTTTCATCTTTGGCCTCTTCGAGGGCGGCTGCTGTGGGTCAAACGCTGATGAGAGCGGCTGAGAAGACTGCGGTTGAGAAGACTGGAGTTGAGAAGACTGGGGTGGATGGACCATAAAAGTGCCAACTGTGGCTGTAGCATGACCTCCCGAACTTGCATGCTGGTGGTCGTGAGGACAGGTCTTGGTCTGCTGTCTTCGACATGCGGAGAGAGGAACGAGCCCGCTTTGGCAAACCATGGCTGCGGCGCACCTCTCATGGCGGGGCTGTTACGTGGAGTCTCGAGCCACACAAGGTCTTCCTCTAGCTTATGGGAAGCAGCAGTCGCCCAACAAATGGAGATTTGCCCAGGAGATGGAGCGAGATAGGCAGGACATGCCGCTGGTCTATCGATGTCGAGAGACAGGGTGCGGGATGAGTCTTTCTCGCTCAGTCCGGGCTGCAGAGCTCTTGGCCGCGAGTGATCGGTTGAATGAAGTTGCTTCTTAATAATTGGACGTCTTTTCTCTCTCAGCGGACTACGAGCCAGGTGCGTTTGTCCGAGTGTCGTCTCCGGCCTGGGATGCAAAGTGGTGCTGAAACTTTCCTCGGAATGCTGCTGTGACGAGTCTGAAATATGTAGCTGCTGAGGTGTGTGGGCCTGAGGCGGAATCTCTAGACGATGGACTTCGACTATCTCTGGACACTTTGACTTGAGTCGAGCTGGATGCTGAAGCAAATACCGCATGATCGTGTGGACCGCCGGGACCGAAAATTACTTTTGGGTCACGATGCTTTGTCTCGGGAGAGGCGTCAGCAGCACACTGACCGAATCTCGTGGCATGACTCTCAGCCCAACTCCCCAAGACTCGAGCGAGGCCTTGCATTTCTTCGGTCTTCTCTACACCACCTCCCCAGAGCCAGATGAAGTCGAGCAGATCACGTTCACTGGCATAATCCTGCACGAACTTCTCGAAAACGAATGCACCCATTCGGGCAAGGTTGAAGACCATGTCATTGGGGAAGGCAGCGGCTCTGGCGATGCGGTGCTGTGCTGCTGCTATACCCAAAGGGCGCCGATGCTGGTGGGTGAACTGGCGAATGTGTTGAAACTACAATTGTCGACCCAATTCGCTGCGACAGGCTCATACTACTGCAGAATGTGAGCAGAAGACCAACTGGGCGATATGAGTCTTCATCTTCGCCTGTCTCGCAGTATTCCTTCGCATCGTCGCGAACGCGCTAGCGAGATTCAGGATTCCATCGACGATCGCCGAATTTGGAAGAAGAAAAAGACGAACAAGCAGCCAGTGCTCAACGAGTTCATCCCAAGGGGTATCCGCGACAACGTGGGATCTACGTTCAGCGACCCCAATGGCGGAGTGACATCAGCCAGCGAGAGCCTGCCTTGGCATCTGGCATTCGAGAGTCCGTCGAACTTCAAGCCTGTTATCAAACATTTGCTCGGGCATGACACGACTCACGCCTCCATCACTTCATCATTCGCCATCAATCTGCGTCCTGCCAGCTGTGCCTCATACACCCGCAACTGTGCATCATAATCGACGCTGAGAATCCGACAGACTTGCAGGGACATGACAATGCGCGAGACTTGGACGATGATACCTTGCTCCCGCCTGTACCTGTGCCTATGCCTGTACTCGTCGTCGGCCCGACACAGGCCACTTGCGGCATTTCAAAGACGTATTTGAGCATCGCCTTCCGTAAGCGCCATCGACTGAGAGCCTCGGAATTCCGTTCATCATTTGGTCCGCGAAGCTTCGCTTAGTTTCGCCTTTTCCAATGCAGTTGACACCTTGTAGCAATGTGCCGTAGTACCTCGCGATGCTGCTGTGGAAGTTCTGCTACCACGTTCGACTCCATCGCGGGAAGTGCCAGTGCCCTTTATTTCGCCAAGTAGGAGCCGGAAGCTGCAGCACATCCGGCCATGCCTCTCACCGTGCCTCATGCTTGTCAGATAGCTCCACAAACGGTTCAATCATTCCCCGTTTCACAGAACCTTCGTTTGTCAAATTCCCACGCCGCAATCATGCCTGCAGGCCAGCGTGAGAAGAGGGACGAGGAGGAGGAGGAGGAGGAGGAGGGTGGACATTTGGACTCCGAAGGCTACCATCCTGACCCAGACGACTTCAACCTCCAGTAGCAAGGTTGGCAAACAGACTGGGTACAAATGCTGCATCTCAGAAGCCTTGGTCCAGGCCTCAAGCTTGTCCTACGTGGACATGTTGCGCCTTCAGGACCCAACGAGCATCATCGGTGATTCGCACGCTCGGAATGCCGGTTTCCTGCAGGCGTTTGCTGCTGATGTTTCCCGGGCCGCGACTCCTATGAAGCAAGTCGACGCTCATGGCGTAATTATCCTCCGTGTGTCAGGAAGCATACTGCCATGTCCCAGAGACCCGACCAGATCCCAGAATCCTCTTTTGCCAGCACGACCTCTCCTCGCTGTTGCTGCGTATGGTCCATTTACACCGGTCGCACATCCATCCACCGCATAATGCTCAGTTGATGTTCAGCCCGTCCACGAGGCCGATGACGAAAAGCTGGCGCAAAGCAAGAGTTGTCAGTCGGCGGCGAAGCTCACCTCGGCGCTCTTGCCTTCGGGAGGTGCCGCATCAAAGCTGCAACACTCATATAGCTGACACAATTGCCAGCATCCAATCAAGTCAGACTCCTCTAAATCGGAAGCGTCCCCCTGAGTGCAGTTGCTTGACCACATTTCGGAGTGGGGTTCGTTCTTTGGATTTGGTCTTGCTCTGATGAACTTCGGTTCTAGCAGACTGGGTGGCTTTGATGGTTATGAGAGCTTGGAGTGCGAGTTCTTTTTGGCCCTTTGGGTGGAGTGTTAACCTTTTGCGAACGTCTGCCTCCTCGCTGTCGTGAGCGGAACGACGGTGGCCTTTGCCGTTGATCATGCGCAATCTTGGTTCATTCTTCGGTGAGGGGAGACGTGGAATACATTTTGCTCGCCTCTCCACCGAACTCGCACTCACAAGATGCGATCGATGCACTGCTTCTTCTCGCTTCCAAGACACTGTCTGACATGGCACATCTCGCCACCAACGTGACCCAAGAAGCCATGTCTTGGGTAGTCTCACCACGGACTTCGGATTGGTATTGAGATATCTGACGACATCAATTCACGCTTCGAAATGTCTGCTCACCATACCCAACAAGCTTTGGTCCGTCATCACACCCATTCGTTCCAGAACAACACCACCGAGCCAGAGCACTTCTCTCCTTGCCATATACACTTTGCATATCCTTGAGGCTGAGATCAGGAACGAGTCTGTCGCTTCATCAAAGTCTGGTCAAGCGTTGCGGCTCACTACTCGCTAGTCACCATTTCTGCAATCATCCAGCCGAAGTGAAAAAGGTCCACCTTCGCGCGCTTCATCCACACCGGAACTCGAACCCTTCCATTTCTCAAAGCAAGTCAGCTGAGAAACCATGCCACCAACACCATCCCATCCCCCACCCCACGACTCCTACCACAACTACTCCTCAACCCTCTCCGCCTTCTACGCCCACAACCCCTCGCCTTCCAGTCCCACTCCAACCGATTCCCTCTTCTCCCTCCCAACAATCCACCACAAACTCCAAGAAAGATTCTTCCAACACCTCGACACCGCCATCCTCTCCCGTCTCCATTTCCTGGTAGAGCAGCAATCATCATCACATCGAACCTTCCCCCTCCCACCAATTTTCGGAATTTTTCAAAAGGAGATCAAGATCCGGTGTGATTTACAACAAGCGCGACGAGGGAGACAGGATTCCGAGCAGGAGGATGATGTGGAGTTGAGAAAAACTTCGTTTGCGATTCGGCACGTCGAAAAATTTGTGGGCGGCATTTGGTATCCTGATGACGAAGAAGGGGAGGAGGAAAAGAAGGTGGGGAATGATGCGCTTACGCTGGCGAGTGGGGAGAGGATTTTTCATTTTTATGGTTGGGTCAAGAGGTTTTGGACGGAAGAGGGGGATCAAAGTGGGGTTCAGAAGGAAGAGTTGTGGGGGCGTTGGATGAGGGAGGAGAGGGTGGGGAGGGAGTGGCTTGAGATGGTGATGGAGGGGGAGGGGGATATGAGAAACGATGGTGGGGAGGAGGAGGATATAGAGGATGAGGAGGATGAGGAGGAGGAGGAGGAAACTCAGGATATTGGATTGAGTTTTCGGGAATGCGTCGAGACTTTTTTGTTGAAGTGGATAGGGATGAAGGATTGAGTTGGGATGGTAATAGGGGGGGGGGGAGGATGATAATGATGATGATAACGGGGAGGACCTGGGTGATAATAGGGAGAAGGATGGCCTAGGAAATGATAATGGGAGGATGATGATGCGGAGAAGGAAACGCAGAATGTTCAATTGAGTTTTCGGCAATGCCTCGAGACCTTTTTGCTAAAGTGGATAGGGATGAAGGATTCAGTCCATCAGCTATACAACATGAGCTCGGTAGTAGTGTCGCAGCACAAGAGCCCATAGAGAAAGTCCTTGGAAGCTTTTCTTTGTGACTTTTGTTGTTCGCAGCTGGAATAAAGAAGACCAGGAAGGAAAGGGGGAGGAAGCAGTGGCACTCTCTTCTTCAAGTTGTCCAGACTTGAAAATTTGTTTCTTAAGAGAGAGACATGCTGTGCTGGAATCTTAGCCTTTCCCAAATTCATAGGTATGTTCTCTCCTAGCTGTTGTTACCGCCATACCACCACCTGCGCTCGGTATGTGTAGCAAAGTTTAGAAAGGATCTGGACGCGTATGCGGTGGGTTGACTCTCGCTGTGCTCCGCTTGAAGCCCTACTGACGGACGCTCAAGAAGGCCAGCAGGGTAACTAACTCATCAGGCGAACAAGTTTGAGGCTGTCACTTTGTATGATGGATAATCGTCTCTGCACCTTATCATGAATAACAACGTCCAATGCAGAGCATTAGAGGATCTCTTTCTCGCAGCAGCACGGACTGAAATGTGGCTCAACGACATAGTCCCTTGACAAGGCATGGCCGATCATAGTTATGATTCCGAGGGAGCTGATATCCGCGAGTGAAAGCTCTGACCGATTGAGGCTGTACTGATTGCCCGCCCTATGAGTCGCATTGCTGAATCTTATACCTCCTCTTTGGCTCCATTCGCGGCATGCCCGCAACTGTTCTCGCGAAACGGTGAAAATTGGTATAGCAACATCGTCACGTCGTATCTGGATGACGGAAATCGATGAGAGGAGGTCTTCTCACGTTCATTCTACGTTGCAACAAGTTCGGTGAGAGGGAGACATGAAACGCAAATTGCGTTAGCTGGAGTGTTGGTGACATTGGAAAAGCAGAGCAGCTCTTTCTTCATCCTGGTACTTGGGATTCTCATTCTCTTACTGGAGTCAACCCAACGACAAGTCAGCAGGTTGGATGATTTCGCAAGCCGATTTCGCTGTCGTAACAGGCGCCTACAACATGCCTCGAGAGCACAAATGGCGTCTACGATCTTGCTGTTTGGACCTCCAAGCTGGAATCCGGCCCAGCAATAGATCGACTTCGCAAGGCTGAACAATAGTCAAAATCTGAAAATCTATTCCATCTGGCCCTGGTGACCGCGGAAGAGTAGGAAGATCTAATGCCGGTTATGATCAAGCAGGCTCGACATGATTGTGCAGCCAATGCATCTTCAGGAGGCAGTAGCACGAGCTTGTAGGAGACATCCAAAGATATTGTTTCCACAATGCCGCTGGATGCAGAGTCCAGTACTCACGATATCGTCTCCCACTCGCACATCTCAGCAACCAAAGTCTTCTGTTTGCCAGTATAGTGCTCCGGAAACCACGCTGCCTGCCACGATCTCATCCAACCTTATGCACTCTTCCGTCTTCGTGATGGTAATACTTCACGCCAAGTGTTTTCTGCTCCCTCGTTCAGCCTCTCACCACCCCAGTCCTGCTTTGGCTTTCACAATGGGTTAGGAAGAGCTTGGCTGGTAGCCCATAGAACCCGAAGGACTCATCACGCCACAGCTCACGACCCGGTGGAAACTCTCGGAGGCCTTCGGGAGTTGGCTCTACACGACAGCTTGTTCCTGCCTGATCATGGAGGCCGTGATCGCTGACGCAGACTCGCCATTGCTTCGGACACCGATCATGCCAGACGCACCATTCGAGCACAAGTAGGCAACTCAAAGTCCAACTCCAACCTGAATAGGACTGCGCTTTGACTCAGGATTTCTCATGGGACATCTTTGCAACCTCTGAGTCATGCCACCCTCAACTTCTCCTCCCAGAATGAAACCATGCCCATCCAGAACCCAAGACAAGAGCCAATGCATGCACGCCGAAACGACCTCTTACCAAACCCAACTTCTTCTTCCTCTCATTATCCAGCACCGCTGTCCGTTCTCATCATTGTTGTAACGCAGGCGATCCGACTCTGGCAGACGAAGAAGAGTAGGCAATGATGAGCAAGGAAGACGATGATAGAGTGTGAGTTTGATCCGAGTGGGAATCGGTGTTGCGCGTTTCATGGCCTGGACTTCAAAGAGAGGGGAAAAAGCTTGAAAGTGATAGCAATCTGAGAACTGTGACCTGTGATCGTGCTTTGCGTCTTCGGGAGATTGAGAAGTGGAAGTCGACAGCTGCAAAGATAGAGCGCAAGGACAAGGTGGACTTACCAGAAGGATACGCTCCGGCCTTCCAAGGCCAAGAAGAAGACGACTCCCAAGAACGCTGACAAGCCTGCCGAGGAAAAATCCAATGACAAGCCCGATGGCCAAGGAGACGACGACGCTTTCGCAGAGCCAGAGACACTATCGCCAAGCATGAAGCGCAAGCGCACAACTACCAAGTCCACGCCAGCGAAGAAGAGCAAGAGGGAGGCGGGAGATGGGCCAAATGTGGTCGTTGATACAGCGACAGTCTACAATGGCGGGGAAAGCATTTTCGCCATTGTGGCGAGAGCGCATTGGTATGCATGTTTGAGCAAAGCCACTCGGTCAAGACGCAAATAAGGAATGTAGCAGGCTTGTCGGACAGTCGTCGTCCTCTCATTGCTCGTATGCTTGTTCGACGGCAGATCTGGCTGTGTATCCTTTGTCTGGTCCAAATCTGCTCCTCGGCGTCGAAGAAAGACTCTGCCCAAAGAGATGTTCTCTGCTCCTCGGCACTGAAGAAAGACTCCTCCCACATCTTGCATATGCTTTCTCTTCCCTTGGAGCCTTTCACGATTGTGGGATATGCTGCCCAACTCTGTCGTCCACTGATTGCACCTTCATACGGGCCAGCCTCGGCCTCCGCAAGCTGCTTTGATGGTTCCGGATTGTTTTTCACCCGCAGCCTCGTTCGCAGCATGGTAGCTGGTGCCATCTGATGTCCTTGCTATGTTTTCTCTTGACCGGGGCTTGATTTCAGCGGGGGCAGGCGAGAAAGCGAAGGGAGAGGGAGATGCTGGCGTGGTGCTTTGCCATCACAATCGTAGCGCCGAAGCTCAGGATCGATGGTGGTCAAGCCCGATCACTTGGATCGACAATCGGGGGTGTTGCAAGCAGGTGGCGACTCAGGTGTCGTTGGCAGCATGCGATGCCTGCTGTAGGCTGGCGTTATCGTAGGTCGAGAGGAAGCTGCTCGGAGGCCGTCGATGTTGACATGTTGATCGAATAGGATAATGGCTCGTTCGGCGCAGCGTAGGTTGTAGGATGTAGTCGAAGCATCAAGGCTGCGGCGATGATCATGCGAGCGAAAGAAAGCAGAGAGTCTTCGAGGCACACAACACAGAGCAGCCAAGCAGCTTCGATCGGAAAGCCGCGCCGAGCCGAGCGATCCTTGCATGCTTTGTCACCCTTCTCCGCGCTTGCATCTCCGTACAGACCTCGAACTACTGTATCAGTCTTCGAGAAGGCGCTTTTGCACCAACACTGCTGATCCCACTGACCGTTCGAGAAGGTTTTGGTATGTTCAGCATCCAGCTACCAGCCATCGTCAAGCACCATTCCTAGAACATTGCAAGGCAACCAACGAGGTCGCATCACTCAGGAATTTACCAGCCATTGCAATGCATCTATGAGCGACTCTCCGTCCTCAACGACCCTCTGGTCCCGCGAGAACTCCATGTCAAGCGTGCACAGGAGCAAGTATTCGCAGCTGATATGTCAGCAAGGCATTGTGCAGCAAGCGACGAGGACTACGCGAATCAACAATTTGACCCTCGAGTGCCGTGTCTGAGTGGCATGCAGAATCGTATCGACCAGGACTTTTCCTGAAGCTGTCGTGGGGACTTTGGAAGGCAAGCGTCGAAGCTGGACAGGAATACAAAGCGAGCCACACAGTTTTCGGAGTCGGGATTGAGCGTGAGCGTCAGTGTCGGCTGCTCTGCTCTGGATCGTGGGAAGTGGAAATGCGGACAAGAAGCAACACGACACGGCTGCCCATGCCATCATCATGGCATGATCCATTCAAGCGCTATCTTCATGTAACGGGAATTTTCAGTCTGTGAATGGTGGTCCAGCGTGAGGCGTGGCTGCGATGCCTCAGGTTCTCCCAAGAACGGCTCCAAGGGTCTGATGGGAGACACAGCGGATATGCGATTCGTTTTGGGCAGCTGGCGGCAATTTGTGCACGACTACGGGCAAATCATGAGTGAGAATGCTTCCCATGCCATAGCTTCCTGATGAGCGCTGGCCGCTCCGCTTGGAGCCGAGGAAGCTGTGGCCTTGGCAGCTTTGTCAGAATCGGGGAAGCCAGCGCATCGAATGGTGCATCTGATCATACACGCCTCGAAAGCTTTCTTTCTTTCCGGCGTGGATTGTTCAAGATGAAACGAAAAATTGCCCAATGTCACTGCCCACGCAGGTTGAGAAAAAGCCTCGAATTGCATCGTATCGTCGGTAGCAACGGATTCGGGTTCGGGTTCGGGTTCGGCCTCAGGGCGCTTGGAGCCGCTCAAAGCACAACACCAACCAACAAACTCTTCATCAATAATATTGGACTGCACCTCATGCTCATGCGGGACCGATCGGAATACACCACTGAACATGACGCTTGATCGCACTCTCCCGACATTGTCCTCGCGATGTGTACGTGGGCGTTACCGCGCTCACGGCGAGATGGCTGCTGTGCGGGCCGACTGGAATGTACACGCAACAACAACAACACATCCGCCATCTGTCATCTGCTGTCCTTTCCATTGACATCACCCACGCGTTTCGGATGCGCATCATCGACGGCATCTTTCCGTGCGTAAGCCATGCGTTTCCCTTCCCGCGTGGCACAGTGGTGCCGAGACACGGCCGCCCAGCACTGCCTCGACCTCCTGTGGCTCTCTCATTTCGCCTTGCTGGGCGCCCACACCCAGCCGGAAGCCGAGGCCGGTCAAGTTGCTGCGTATGTCGATTCGTGCGTGTGCTTGCTGGACCACGCCGTTCGCCGTCGCTCGCGTTGGCCGCCACACTCCCGCTTGCGAGCACACCAGACCATCGCCGCACACCGCAGGCGCGTCAACAATCCACCAACCTGGCGCAGCCTCGCGAGCTTTCTGCTGCAGCGCTTGTTCTTCAGGCTTCTTCTGCCATGCCTCTTGGTCTATGCCATCGCGCATTGCGCCGGATACCTTCAACAACCCCCCCACGCTTCAACCTCCGACCATGCATCCTTCAACCAGCACCCATTGGCCTCATCACATCATCATCCACCTCCATTGTGCTCCCACGTGTGCACCTCGTCAAAATGGCTCGCATTCGGTGCGCCTGCGCACCCTCTCGTCCTGCGGTACAGTCCAACAACCCCCGACTTTGCGCCCGACTGGCTCTACTCCGCTCAAAAGAAACAGCATGAGCGGAACGACCATGTCATGGCCATTCCCGACCCAGCAGACACTCCCGGCCGCCTCGAAATCAACTCACGCTCCGAATCGCTTGCGCGTGCCGCTGTCATGTTTGTCGTCGGCCAAGGCGTCGTCGATCAAGGCGTGGCACTGGCTCTCCAGAGGCACGTTGAGACGATCAAAAACCTTTCCGACACGAGCACCGCCACCTCACAAATGCAGTCACTGCTCCAGCTCTGGAACATAGGCGTCAACGAGAAGCAATCTCTTCGCTCGGCATTGGCTTGGTCGGCAAACGCAACACTGTTTGACGGCATCGACCGGCAATACGACCTGGTGTCTTCCATGATTGACGAACTCCGAGCTTCCATTCTCACCCGTGTGGCCTTCATCAACCAAGAGATCGAGAGTCTCGAAGATCCCAAATTCGGCCGATGTCTTCACCACCAACATTGCATCGACAAATGGCAGCCCGAACTCGATGAACTTCGCCACCTCTCCGCCTGGTCGGACTTCACCCATCTCAACATGTATGTCACATGGCATATCGTCAACGCTCTTTCATTCTTCACTCGCGAATTACTGGACACTTTCGATCACCATGCCGGCGAGGCCACCGTCACTCGCGTCCGGCAAGTGTACAGCAAGCAGAAACTTCACGGCCTCAGCCGTCGCGCCGGTCTGTATGCTGCACGTCAGTGGGCAACACGCTACGACAGCATGAACCAGGAAATCACCACCTTCTGCCACGACTGCTTCTCCTCTTCCAACACCTCATCCATCTGGCAAGCATGGTGGGAACCATATCCCGCCGAACCACCTTCCGACTTCCAAGAGTGGCTCGAACCCAAAAAGCCCAACATCATGGTCCGAGTCAAAGAAGGCGGCATCAACCTCGACTCCGTCCGCCGCGTTGGGGGATTCCCCATCCGCACCCCCAAAGACTGGCGACGTTGGCAATCCAATCTCGCCGGCCAAGAATGTCTTGGAGTCGACCATCTCTGGGGCGATGACGAGCTGGATAAAGAACTCGGCCGTCGCATCGCGGAAGCTGGTCCTGACTCATTGACTGATGTCGATCGGTGTGAGATGGGGAGGGAGATTCTGGGTCAATTGTGGTGCGTGAGGGATACGACGCTGCTGGATGTGAAGGGTTCGTATGATGCTACGAGGGCTTGGGTTGGGGCGAAGGATTTGTATTGGTTGGAGTGGGTGAAGGATTTTGATCGGAGGCAGAGGAAGGCGGAGTTTGTGCATGAGGCTTGGGGGGAGGATTCGGAGTAGGTAGCAGCAGCATCTTTATGCTTTCACACGATAGGATCGGTAGCATCTTTATGATTTTTGTTGCGTTGGAAGATGTCGTTGATGTCGTCTCTGCTGTGATTTTCCTTTTTCTCAAGCTTCGAATGTTCTCATAAAGTGATCATCAGGTGAGTGACGAAGAATCCTTCTCGTATCTCGCTACGCATATTATTTCCTATCATGACATGATTTAACCCTGGCCCATGAAGCTGTCGTTGATGCATGCCGTCTTCGCTGTCATTTCTTTCTCTCAACGTCCTTATCTTATGGTGCTTGCTATAGAGTGAGCATCAATCAGTTCACCGAGGACTCTTCGAAGCCTCGTGGCTTGTCATAGTGTTCATCATGATGTGATGATGCCGTCTCCGCTGTCATTTTTCCTCAAGCTCCTTATACAGTTTCTTGCTGTCTTCCCTTGACTTGGATTTCTCGTGAAGTGATGGTGACTGAGGAGTCTTCTGCTGAGTCTTGTCTTGTCATTTATGATATTTATTCATCGTAATGACTGCAGATGTTCGGTTTAGAGAATGTGTGGCGCCATCAACCGGGTGAGCTTGCTAGAGCATGATCATTGCTAGACGCAGATCAATGAATTGGCACTGATAAAGATCAGCCTCAATCCTGCCTTTCCCGTACCCCTCGCAAGCATTCCTTAACAGTTTCAAAAGTCCATCCCGTCGCTCAGCCAATGTGTTGGTCCTCCTCCTCCTCCTCATCAAGCAGTACATTCACCGGGCTATCTATGTATCGCGATCAAAGCTCACCCTCAAAATCTGAAAATCCATTCGCTGTATTCGCGGATCCCTTGACCAAGCTTTTGCGGATGTCGGCTGCCAGAGCGTTTTCATTCTCTCCCTTGCACACTGAGTCTGAGGAAAGCGGCTAGATGTGGTGGTGCAGTCGAACCGAAACCAGCGCGGCTCCGCTTCTATCCTTCGTCGAATCACGTATGTTGAGCTCTGCACAACGAGTTCATTGCCGCAAGTGGTCGAGATTCGTACAAGTCCCATATCCATCCAGCAGCATTGTTTTTTTCCCCTCAAAGTTGCCCAAGCCCTCTCACGAACGCCTCATAATCCGCTCCATCATGAAATCTCTGATCCCCTCCATTCCAAATCAAGAAGTCGTAGAACTGCTGAGGAAAAGGTGTCTCGTCGGCGTTGGCTTGAGCTAGCATTCCGGTCAGGAGCGTTAGGATTTGGAGGTATGCTATGCGCTGCTGCGTAGAAGACTCGGGGTTGGAATTCAAGGTCGAAGAAGTGGTAGTGGAAGAACAATCCTCGAAGGTGGAAATTGAGGGGTTGAAGGATGATGGGTGGGGAGAGGTCCATTTTTGGAGGCTGTAGTCTGATTGTAGCGATGGAGAGAGTGTGGAGCGGCTGTGCTCGAAGTCTTCAAGAGAATGCGGCTTCGCTTCGCCCTGCGTTGAAGAGGTTGAATTGACACTGCCTTGCTCAAAGCGAGGGCGCTCCTTGTACATGTTTGATCGTGGATGTACGCGGCCAGCTTCGGGGATTGGTGGTTGGGGTGGTGCGGCTGTGGTAGTTCCAGACGTGTGTGGTCTTGACATCGACATGACGCTGCGATTCTCCAAGTCTGTGATGACGTGTCCATGTGGACTGGAAACTTTGGCGTCAGAGGCTGAGAAGAAGGCCGGACGGGGTTCGTAGGGAAGCTGACGCAAGGCGGAAGATGATGCTGAGGAGGCGTAGAGTGGACTTTGCAGTGAGTGATGCCAATGTACAGCGAGCGGTGCTGATGCTAGCATACTCATCGTCGTCTTAAGCAGCTCTTGTTTGGTAATGGCAGAAGGATTCAAGACCTCGACGAAGCAATATCCAGAAAGTGCGTGTTTGGCAATTGCTTTGTCAGAATGTGCGATGTCCAAGTAAGAAAAGTCGGGCGCATTGACGATGCTCAAGAGTGCCTGTGACACAAATATGCGATAATGATTCTTTCTGCCACCACTTTTTCCAGTCCAATCTTCCCTGAGCAAGTGTCGGGTTGCCTTGGAATTCATCGCCGAAATGAGCCAGTCAACGATGCATTCCAGGTGTCGTTCGAGCTTTTGGAGGCTGCAGCAAGTGTCATGAGTAGGTATGGTCAAAGGAAGCAGTCTCAGAAGCGTGTCTGGTGATGGGAGATTCTTCGAGGAGAAGCAGCAATGAATGGCCGCTCGGAAAAGAGCGGTTTTGGTCTGCTCTGGCAGGCTGACTCCCTGCCGTCTCGAAGCCATTTCACGCCCGTCATTTCCGATCAGTCAAACAGGTTGCTCATCAAATTTAGCAACTTGGCGCAACGTGGAAAGTGCAAAGGAGTGCGAGTAGAGTAGAATTCTTTGTCCGCGTTGAGTTTTGTTCACACGATGCGCGGTGCACGCTGAACACGCAGCGCGATGCGCGTTGTGCACGCAGCGCAGGGCACGCCGTACACGCAGTGCGGGGAACGCTGTACACGCAGTCACGATCTGTACACGCAACGCGGGGCACGCCGTACACTCAGCCCACCACACCCCGCCAACCGACGAACCTAGCAAAAAGGTCTCCGCTTTTCAGAGCTCACAACAAACACTATGCTACCACATTAACTGCGCAATGCCGCTCTGCATCATCAACCAGCGCGGCGCAACCTGCAAAGTGCACAGGAGTGTGAGTGGAACTGTTCATCTGCTGCGCTGAAGCGATAAACCCCGCTAACCGACCACCCGACCAAGAAGCTCCTCGCTTTTCTGAACTCAGAACAAACACCATGCAACCACATCAACTGCGCAATGCCGCTCGACATTATGAATCCGCGTGGCGCAACGTGGAAGTGCAGAGGAGTATGACTAGAACTGCTCATTCTCTGCGCTGAAGCGATACGCCCTCCCAACCGACCAACCGGCCAAACAGCTCTCCGCTTTTCTGCGCTCGAAACAAACACTATGCCGCTACATCATTTCCCCAATGGCGCTCGACATCATCAATCAGCGCTTACTACTGGAGCCAACTCCGACAAACCTGATCCCCAGCCAGAGGAATCCAGCCAACAGCCCACAGCGACAGGGACACAACTGCGCAAAGCCACCCAACGCTCCGAAATCGCCGAAGCCCACATCAAAGACGCATACCGAGTGATCGCAGAGTTGCAGGAAGACTTGGCCAGAGAGGCTATAAGGCGCGCCAGGGAAATCGCAGCTTGGGAAGAGAATGTGCGCGATGAGAAGGTCAAGGTGGAGAGATTGCAGGCGAGAGAGCAGATGCTGGTACGAGAGGTGGATGAGTTGAGACACAGTCAGCAGAGCCAAGCTGCGGAGATCAGACAGTTGAGGTGGGCTGTGCAGGGGATTATGGAGAAGAGCTTGAGAGAGGAGGAGGCGAAGGAGAGGGAGATGAATGTGATTACGAGATGAGCATGAATGCACACGACACATTGTGGTGGAAATCAGCACAGCGGAGATCAGACAGTCACGATGGGCAATGCAAGGAATTATGGGGGATGCTTTGAGAGGGGAGGAGGCGTGAGAGAGGGAGATAGTCATGAATGAAAACGACACATTGTAATGGGAAAGCACTGGCGCATGCTGCATAGTATGGTACTTCGGCGGCACTCATTTCACCCCGAACGCAAGGCACAAGAGAAGGGAGATGCACATGAATGAACACGGACACATTGCAATGGAATGGAGTGGAGATCAGTACAACAAGCACTGGCGCATGCTGCGTGGAGCTTTGGCGGCGCTCATTTCACCCTGAACGCAGGGCACGAGAGAGAAAATGAGCTTTCGTCCTATCCTGGCCTCGATACCAATCTCTCTTCCATGCTCGGAGTGCTTTGGCGGCGCTCATTTCACTCTGAACGCAGGGCACGAGAAAGAACATAAGCTTTGTCCCATCCTGGCCGCAACACCAATCTCTCTTCCATTCTCGATCCTGAAGATCATGCTCATCAGGAGAAGGTCGAGGTGTGTTCAGAAGCTAGCTATAGGCTGGGTTTCTTTCAGGATTGTGCTTCACGCGCTCGTGGGAGTACTTTCGGCCCGGTGCCTCGTCAAGATGCAATCTCAGCATGCATGGGAGATGCATGATTGAAGGCCGAGATTATGATTGGAGTCGGTAATCTTGATTGCAGTCGGTAATCATGATTGATTGGAGTCTGATCCGAGAGATAGGAGTCCAAGACCATGATTGGAGTCCCAGACCGTATTCTTCGAGAACTTCTTCATCTCAGCTACACGGGATTCCGCCCATTTCCCTACCCTACTTGATGCACGCTTGACATCTCGCCTCAATGGTCGTGCTCGGTCAAGCTGTCCCTCGTCCGACTTATCAATCGAGTGCTCGAGCTCCTCCTACACCAGTGCGGAGATCTCGCCTACTTCCTCTTCCCCGGTCCCAAGCATCTGCATATGGAATCTGGCATCTGCTGTATTTGTGGCATCTCCGGCTCGAGTCCATTCTCGGACTCCGCTTCTGACTGTGCTTTTGGCCTTCGTCCGCGAGTGACTTCCCTCGCAGACTGAGTCCGATGACTCCATGGAAAACCCACTGGCGCGATGCAAGTGCACTTCCCTGCACATCCCTGCACATCCGGACCGAAACTGGTGGAAGAGAGCTTTTTTACAATGATGCAGATGGCGGGAGACATGAGCAAACTCTCCCAGCCAGACGATGTTTTTGAGCCGATCCAGGCCGAACGAGACGCGTGCGTCGCTGGTGAGTGTGGCCTGCTCTTGGCATGTGTGCTGGTTGCTGATTGCGATGTAGCCACCAAGGATGCCCTCGAGCACTGGCACATGACCAAGAACAAGGCCGCCCTTGTCTCGCCTGCTGGCAGCGACCTGGACCTCATCGGGGCCCTGGAGCGCATCAATGGCAACCATGTTGCCGCCGAGGCATAGGGAGGCCAGATCAGCTTTTGCGAGTCAGTTCTTGCCAGCCGCACGAGGGGCGAGTGCGGACATGTTGGGAGGCGCGGCTCGTGGTTGGAGGTGTCGAAAAAGAAAAACAAAACTTGGTGGGAGCTTGTGGGTACTGTCCAGGCCGTCGACGACGCCATTGGCCTTGAGGCTGAGGAGGACGCGGAGGGTTTGGAACTCTGATCGATTGACCCTCCCAGGTTTACATTTGACGAGCACAATGATACTTGCGTCCCGAAAGAAGAAGTTGGTTCCGCTCAATGCCATATCCATCTCTGCTCACCTGCAATTTGAGACTCTGAGAACCTTTTCAAATCGCCTAGGCCTGTGCCTCTTGTCACCTAGGACCAGAGCCCTTAACGAAGATGTCGCCTTTTGCAGAAGGGCGTGGAGATACGCGGGATCGAGGAAGCCTACCTTCTCCAAGTCGGTCGCATGAACAGAACCGATACGGCTTCAAGCAATGCAGCAATTTGGTTGTTGTCTTCTTTGGAAATGTCGCAGTCTGATCACCACAATATGATTACTCTTAGTTCATAGTCGGATTGATCAGCATCTTTCAGAATCAGCGCTGCTGTCCGACTATGCCTCCCCAAGCTTTGTACGCCGCAAAGCTCCGAGCCAAATCCAATGCAAAGAATTCATCGTGTCTAGAAGACCTGTTAGATTGGTGCCGAATCAAGGCTTGATGAGTTGTGCGAAGATGTATAAATGCTCGGTACCAGATATTATGAGTTGATTCGGCAGAGATTCGGAGTGCGTACCTTATTGTAGATTCTCGTTCTTGGATATATAGCAGAATGGAAGGTGATTGGAGCCTCAAAGACAAAGACATTCAGAGATTTAAAAAGCGAGCGAAGTTTTTGTTTGGGACAAAGCAAAATGTATACTTGAGAGACTTCCAAGGAGCGGACATTTTGATCCTCAAGACAGTACGGAGGTCCAAAGCAATTGGTCCTGCGCTGCCCTAGTAACAATTGATTGGGACGCGGTTTAGCATTGATTGAAGGCTCCGCAGACTGGCTAACATCGATCGTTGCTCGGCTACCTAGCATTAGTACAGTACAATATTGATGTGATGAACATTTGTGCGCCTTTCGCTTAGGCCGAAAGCAGGAAGTTGGAGGTATTATGACCTTGCCATTCGCAGTCTTCGAAGGCTCTCGATAAAGTACTTAAAGACTGTTGTTATACTTCCTACTGCGGACTTCTACGCCTATCTAGATAATAAGCTTAAAGCAAACAGTTTCTAACTTTTTTTGCGAACGAGATTAAAGGTTTATACAAAACCGAAGGATTACTTTATTAAACAAGGAACGATTCCTACTTCTATACTACGTATTATAATAGTTAGAAAATAAGACGAAATCTAATTAATATAATTTTAGAGCAACGAAGAGCTATTAAGCCGACTTAAGTCTTATATAGTTAATACTAAACTTACGTTTAACTAAAATCTAAAGCCTTATACGACTCTTATAAATCTGTTTAACGTTATTAATTCTAAGGTCGGATAAGGCGAAGGCGAATCGCAGTATTGCAAATCCGTAGTCGTTAGGATATTAATAAGTATACTGCTCGGAATAAGTCCCTAAATGTATTTTTAAAAACTTTCTAATCTTAGTAATTCTTATACTTCTTTGCGAGCGCTCCGAAAAGCTTCCTAGACAATTAATTATTAATCCTTTCTAGCTACCTTTAGCGATTATTATATCGAGTATATAGGATTAGGGCAGTCTATAGTACGATTAGAAATGTTCTAGCTATCGTAAATTAGCGATAGAAGTAGCGGAAGATAAAGCCTTAAAGAAATGTTTAGCCTAGTATGCTTCTTATAGCTATCTCCGCTTTAGCGTTTCTAATACAATTAATTAATTCTAAGCGCTTATACTACTAGGGAGTATTAGGAGGCTAGCGAGATTGCCTTATAGAACACTATAGTGCTAGTATCGAGCTTCGAATTCTCGGATCTAAAGTCGGAGTAATAGTTATACTAATACTAATACCGGCTATTGCGGGAATCTAAGCGATAGCGAGTCCGTAGCTAAAAGAGTATATAAAATAACTATAACGGTAATAGTAGCCGTAATAACTATATAATCTTATATCGTAAAGACGTCCGTAATAACGAAAGCCGTCTTCCTCTCTATAGGCGTCGTAGTAGTGCAATCCTAGTCGTAGGAAATAAATATATTCTAGTAACTAGCTCTTTCTCGCTAGTAGGAAACTCTAACGCATATTACAGCATTCAAGTCTTAGCTATAAGCCTATAGTAGCGTAGTAAGACGAGGCAAACTCGTTATATAAGCTCTTAGAGTAGGATAGTATCGTATAGTCGGTAGGTAATGCTTTCCCGACTTCTACTTACCGTACCTATAAATGCTCGGCTTAGAACTAGGTTTATAGAGTACCTTATAAAGGGCGTATAGTGTTTGTATCTACGAACGGCTAAGAAGGGTCTCTAATATAAATCTTGCCCGTTCGGTAGTTAATTCTTTCTCGAGGCGGAAGCTAATTATACGAGACGCCGAAGCCTAGTCGAAGGGAGTAGGGTAAAGTCGTCCTCGTTGTCTGTCTATATTCCGACCCTCTATAGAAGGTATATTGCGGCTTGTTAAAGTATAGAAGGAGCGTCTAAAGGAAGACATATCGTCGTTATTTAACCGATAGTTAAGGTTAGTAGTATATAGCATTAATATAGGAAAATGCCTAAAGGCGAGGCAGAATTGCAGTACTGCTTTATAAAAGAAATTAGTAAGGCGGTCCGAGGTCTAACCTATACCTAGATATCGTAATGTACTACGCTATTATAGATCTACTTAGGATGCTCCGTAAGTAGTCCGCCTAGTTAGCCGCCCGCTAAGATTATATTAAGAGCCTATAGGAGTTCGCGCTCGAACACTAGCTCTAGATATTAGATACCGCGTGTACTTGCGTACTACTTACTCCTTTCGACTTTAGGGATAGGCTACGAGGCGATTTTATATTCGGAAGAGGAGCTGCTAAGTAGTATAAAGCCGGCAAAGATGTTAAACTCGTTTAGTATATCGACGATATACGAGAGAATAATGATATAGGTAGAGATTGGCATAGGCACTCGGCATTGCGAATAGCTAAACGCAAGTTAAAACAACTATAGAGTTTGCCTAGGTCCGGCGTATCTCGCTAGATTCTTTAACTTCGTATCTCGATAACCGTCTCGTTGTCTATATATTATTCGTAGCTGTACAGCTCTGCCGTCCTTAGCCCGGTGCTAATACAGCTTATTTATACTAACTCCGGGTGTCTTCGTATACTTAACTGCGGGAAGCTTTTATACCTAGCTAGGTATACGCCGACTAAGGGAAGCTTTTACGCCTAACTAGGTGTACGCCGTACATTTGAGTAGATGTATATCGTACATCTAAGTGGATGCACATCGTACATCGGAGTCGGTATACACCGTGCATCGGAGTGAGTGTACATCGTGTATCGGAGAAGGAGGCGGAGAAGATAGATAAGAAAAAGACGGAAGCGCGGAGGGTGGTTTTTGCAGCACGGTCTGTGTTTTGCAGCACGGCCTGCTTTTTGCAGCACCGTCTATTCTTCGCAGCACTCGGCGCATTATTCATGAATGTCATACAAGAAGTTACACGGGCTCGCATATCGGGAGTCCTCCAGCGGCTAAAATTCAAGGCACAATTCAAAAGTGTACATCGTACATTCAAGTGGGTGTACATCGGTCTGAACATGCACATCCAGTCAGGCGCACGCCATACACCTGAATACGTGTATCTTGTACACCTGGCTGCGTGTACCCGCATCTGAACAGGTGCACATTTGAAGTTGAGATGAGAAGTCATTGGTGCTGTCTTGACTCAAGGATGAAATCTGCGGCGCCAGAAATACTGCTTGTCCTGGTCTCAACGGGCCACAGCGTCATCTGTTACGATGGATCCAGATTCCATTCCAGCGCGGATCATGGCTGCAGTGGAGATTTTGTTCTTTACAGCTGATGGACTTTTTGGGAGCATCCACGTACTTGTCTCCTTCTGCCATCTTGGAGGTAATTGAGGTACTCACATAATCACTGCATTCAAAATGGGTGATGGATGCAGAGCCTGGTAATGATGTGGCCCAGAACTTGGATGGCTTCTGCTGCACTTCGGAGGCTGGAGACGATCAGCGAAATGTTGCAGCCCGTTGGTATTCCATCGAGTAGGGCTTACTTTGTGACATTCGTAGAGCTTTTTGACCAAACCAGGCTTCTTTGGTAATCCGTCAAGCGAAGGCCATTTTCGTCAAGAAGATGAGCTTTCCCATCGCCAACATCCAAATGAAATCGCCTCCGAAAAGTCCGAGATCACAGTGAAAGCCCTTCCGGTCGCTAAGTTCCCGCCGAACAAGACCCAAACATCGAAATCGTGCAAGACGCGGTCGCTACGAGCGAGAGGTTGACATCCGGAAGAGGACAGAAGAGTCCTTGTCGGATTCTCTAGCGCGCTGTAGTCAAATGAACGCTATTCTATCCACTTTTGAAACCCGCCAGATTATCTTTACCCGACACTTGACCTCGGTCTCAAATACATGCCTAGTCGGAGAACGATCGGCGAGAAGATGACCTATCTATAACTATATGCTGACACCGACAAGCTGCTCTCAAGGATACTATCTGGCCTTGTTCTAACCAGTTGCATACGCAACAAGGGCATTTCCCGCAAGTTTCTGCACAAGGACTTCATCTTTGTCCGACGCGTGATTCCGGACATCGTCGAGGCGATCAGATGAGCGACTCAAGGGTGGGTAGACAAGGTAGCAACTTCTTCAAACACTGTCTTGGCTGACGTGACAGCCACATTACCTAGTCTCGGTGTTTACCTGTCGAGTTAATGATGCCGAAGAATCCCGAAATCGTAGTATCAACCTCTGCCTCCAGCAAGGAAGAAAATGACATCTGTGGGGAGCTTAGGACGTCAGAAAGTGAAAGAGGATCTTGTTGGGAGGAGCGCTGAAGTATGGTCGCTGCCGTTGCATTCGGAACAGAGCGCACTGGTGACTTGGCAGGGAGAAATGGCTGTACTTGCCAGGGAGATTATCCGCAGGAGAGCATATGCATAGATGGGAGTTCGTGCGAGAAGCCGTCTTCGGCCGGTTATGAGTTGGGATCAAGCAATGCTTCGAAGACTTCTCAAATGGGATGAGGAGAGGTTGAAGAGATGTGACATGAAGCAGTCTGGCATGTGCTGGGAGAGAATGTCTTGTCTTTTCGACGAGAAAGCATGAATGGCATAAGTGTGCGCAATCGCTGTTGATGCCTTGATGGTCACGCTATGGCACCGTCTGGCTTGGGAATGTAAGGGCAAAATGATGTGCCGCTCAGCAATGGGCTATCGATGAAGGGCATAAGGGTGTGTGGGTATGAGATTGATGCTGAAGTGAAAGGAATGTCTCCGCCGAGCTGACCAAGTGGGTTGATTTACTCCATATCGTTCTACCGATGACAGCGTTTGCAAAACTGACGCCCGCCCGCCTCCAGGCTGTTGTACCGAGTGTGCGGTATGTCTGCGCCTGCGCCCTGTGCCTGTGTATGATTGTGGTGATGTATGCTTTCCTGCCCGTGTCTCGATTTTGACCATGAACCAACGCCTCAAGATGCCGCTGCCATGGCCTCAGGATGATCAATCAACCTGAAGTGGATGAGGGAGTCAGCGCAGGACCAAGAGATGGGGTTGCGAGGCGCATCTGCTTACCATCCGATGTAGTCGTGTTGAGGGAAGAAATCGCGAACTCCATTGTTGAAGTTGATAGCGTCTTGAAGGTCATCAGGCAATACAGCACTTCCTGGAGTTCTCATGCTTCGATGCTGCTCGAGCTTGACTTTGACGTACTCCAACCACTTCTCGTATGCAATGTGGTTCTGACTGGCGTTGACCCTGTCCTTCTCGTAAAGGTATTCCGGAGGTCCATAGATCGGACCCGGAGGCTGAGAGTGCTGCTGGTTGGACATTCCAGTGTTCGGTGGACCATATTGGTGGAAAGCGGGGTTGAGTGGGTTGGGCATTCCAGAAATGGCTTGAGCACTGGTGTATGGGGGATATGGAGCGGCGTGAAACATTGGTGGCATGCCGGGATGGGAAGGGTAGGGTGTGTGGTATGCTTTCGTCGCTGGAGTCGGCGAGGCGATCTGACCTGAAGCAACCATGTGGCTCATCACATCACGGACGGTCTGCTCCATGCCTGGTCTCGGCTCGGGTTGGCCACCGAAGAGCTGCATGGAACGATTGTTACGAGCGTGTGCTTGCATAATGGGACAGTCTGAGGAGCGCTGCAAGGCCAAGATGAAGTTGTACGAGAATGCCGGGTCTTGAACTGCGTCGAGCAATGCTGATGAGATGCAGACGCGGTACACAGGCGGCTTGATACCAACACACTCTTCGAACAGAAGCCCGACGAGGTTGTGCTGGGAAATGTTGCTGGAGATCCACGATGCGAGACATTTGACGAATCTCTTGGTGGCACGGAGGCCTTGTCTGGGCAGCTGGACAGTGTAGATGAGGTCGAGAAGATCGTGCACGGTGGGAGGCCGCTTGGAGCTGTAGCCCTTGCTGACAGCGTGCTTGAAGATGATGGTCTTGGTGTGAAGGTCGAGGTTGATTTTCTTGCCACCTATGGCGGGAGATCAGCATGTTGCAAGCGCACAAGAGGAGCTCCGCGGAGGTCGTTGCTTGATAGATGGATCGCTGAGGCTCTCACTCACGCCAAGATTTGGCCTCTGAAGAAGTCAATCCTCCCCAGTGAATGATGAAATCTTCAGGATCCGAGTCCTCGTCATCGCTGGGCAGGTACGGATCGTCTGGATCGGAGTTGGAGCGATGCTTGGGCATGGTGGAAGCTGAGGAGGAACGAAAGGAGCAGAGGAGGAGGCAGATGGTTCTCGAGAGCTGTTCTGTCAATGCATGCAGACGAAGGAATAGGAAGAGTAAAGGGAGAGAAGGAGCAACAACTTGGACCGGCACGTGTGCTGTCTCCTTTCAGACGCTCCGCTACGGAGATAGCTGATGGTCGGCCAAGAAGCGCGCCGGCGGAATGCCTGGGCGGGACAGGGTCTGATCGGAGACAGCGCGTTTGACTGTGTGATTGATGGATGCGTGTACGTGATGCTGCATAATGCCAATGTCCGTCGCGGCGAAGTCAGCTCGGAGCGGTGGCAGCGGAGCGGAGATGGGCCAGGACAGCGACGGGTAGGTGCAGGCACCCGTCATCGACAGACCGGAGTTCGTGGCGGCAGCGGAGATTGTGGTACATTGGAGATGAGCTGGCGTTTGACGTCGGAAATGATGGATTGTGATGGTGTTGAAGTTGAAGTCTGTCTCGGGAAAGGAAAGTGGAAAGCAGCGTGTCAGCTGGGCTCGGGTTCGGAAAGGCGGAACGAATGCGAACAGCCCGTTCCTTTCTTCATAGTCTTCAGTATGCCCCAACGCTGCTTCACCGTACACCGCACACCTCCCGCACACCGCACACCGCACACCGCACACCGCACACCGCACACCGCACACCGCACACCTCCCGTACACCGCACACCGCACACCGCACACCTCCCGACCACGCACGCACGCACGCACCACGACACTGACACTGCGGACAGCGCACATGGCATGGTGCATGAAGATCTGATGAATTCACGAGCCGGCGCGGATTGGCTCTACGACTTTCCTTGTTGCACCATGCACACAATCCACCACGCAACGCTCATACGCCGCCTGCATACTCAAACGACGCCCAATTGATGCCGCCATGAGGCAGCCGTCCGTCCATCCCCGCGTCTGATAGTGCGCCAAGGTGCTGCTTCCCGAACTGCTACACCACACCAGATGACTGCTGCCTCCGCCTTCCTCGTGTCCAATCTCGGCATCAACGTGCGCCCTGGAGCCTCGTCCAGCACGAGCCATGCCTCTCTTTCCCTGCACCTGTCGCGCCGCGAGGCTGCGACATACCACCTCACCTTAGCACGTCCATTGCCGACCTCATCCATGGCAAGTTTCACGGACCCACGCTTCTTTGCTGCGCTGGAACGGTGCAGCTTATCCACCTCATCTCATCGCATCCCGCATACATCTTTGTCCTGAGTCACGGCAATGCAAGCGTGACGATGAAGATCAACGTTGAGCCGCGAGCTTGGCGCGCCCGGAAGAGATCCAAGCATGGTCACCCATTTCTTCACTCTGCTACTCTCAGGCACACGTCAAGTTGAGCCGCGACCTCGGCGCCCGAACGAGATGCAAGCACTCTCATCCATTTCTTGACCTTTCCATTCTCAGGCACACGTGAGATTGAGCCGCGAGCTTGGCGTGCCCGAACGAGACCCAAGCACTCTCACTCATTTCTTAACTCTTCCATTCCTACGCACACGTCCCATCATTCGTGGTCGAGACTTCGTCGTAGAGACTCACGCTCCTCTTACATTCACCATCTGCAGCCTACACTGACTTCAGAGATGGGCCCCCAAAATGCTGCCGAGTTCTTCTACACCTCCGACGAGAAGGTAAACTGCTCTTCTGCTGCTCTCTCGAACGGGACTGACGAATTCATTGCCAGTGGTACGGCGCCAGGTCGCCAGACAATGACATCCACGACTTGAGATCATTTGCTACGAACGCTGGCAAAGGAAACGTCTTCATGTTTCTGTGGCAGCAAATCCGAGTCATCAACTGGTGCGAACGCAAAGCCCGCAAACCAAAGAATGAAATCGACTACGTCGAATTGCTTGTGATCAAGAACGGATGCCAGGATCCTGACCTGCTTGACCACGCCTGGCCTTGGCCCAAACACCACCGAAATGACAAGGATGTCGAAAAGATGAGTTCCATTCTGGCTCGATGGGCGCAGAACACAGCTGGTGCGCTTGTGTCCGAGTTGGCGGCAGGAACGTACGAACCGCAGAGCTTGAAGTATCGTGATCCAGACCAGATTTGGACACCATCATGGTCCGATGCCAGCGGAGAGGATCACGTCAACGTCAGTACATCGAGACAGAACGCTTCTGCGGCACCTTCAGATCCTCAGGCCGCCCAGCCAACAAACGAGCGCTCTGGAGTAAGTTGTGGTATCAAGCATGAGCGAACTGTACTAACATCTGTACTTCGCAAGCTGTCGAACGTAGCCTCACCTGCTCCACAATTTGAACCTCCACCGGTACCGCTATACCACACTCGACCAAGTACAGCTTCCACCCAACTTCCGCCTTCTCCAACACTTCAGCAACCTCAACCACCTCCTGTACTGCCACATCGTATGCGGCCTTCGGCATCGAATTCAATCTCCACTCAACATCCCCATGCTCCAGCAGCTCGGCCAAAAGCAGAAACCACCGCTTTGCCGTTTCCAAGCGCCGCTACTCGGCCTCAGTACTATTCCACACCACCGATCCCGGTTGCATCTTCGAGCCAGTATCCATCGGCTTCCAGAGGTCGTACGACACCAGAGCTTGGCGCCATGTCGAAATACGGTGCTCACACATCCTACCACATGCAGCAGCAACACCACACACCTAGGGCGGAGCCAGATTACCCGCATTGGGGCTTGGAGGAGGGCCCGCAGTTGCGTCAGGGAGCAGTCGAGCTGCAAGGAAATAAGGAGAAGAGACCGGAAATGAAGGAGCGAGAAGTATGGTTCCGAAAGAAGGAGGAAACCACGAACTTGGAAGCCACACCATATCAGCAGAAGTGGGAGAGCACTGATGAAGAGCAGCGACCAAGTCCGCTTGGACGATCTCAAGTTTCGTTTCAGCACAACAATATGAACTTGGAAGCCAGACCATATCAGCAGCAGTGGGAGAGCACCGGTGAAGAAGAGCAGCGCCCAAGTCCGCTTCGACGATCTCGAGTTTCGTTTCAGCACAGCGACATGAACATGCCCCAACCGGGAGACTTTCCGCGCCCAATGCATGGACAGCCGTCACAGCCCAGGACATCTGCCTCGACATACTCATCTTATCCTGTCGAAGATCAAGGACGAGCTCATGCTCCGTCTCAGCAGCATGAGATCCCTCAGCCTGGCACGTTTCAGCACTCATACCGCCAAGCCCCAACCGCAGATCAACGAGCACATGCTCAGCTCCAGACACAGGTATGATGCTCCCACACCTCGTCATCTCTGTTCGTGTTCATCCTCGTACGTTGTTTGCTGACTTTGGCTCATTCTAAAGTTCACGTTCGACGACGTAGCCGACCAGTTCCTGGACCTGGACCTCAACAAGCCGTGATGGGATGCGCGGGCAGGATGAGTTGGGTGATGATTCTGTTTCCTCACACCTGTACGTTTTGGAAAAGATTTGTGGGTTTTGGTGGGACATGAGCAGGTGGTTGGATGCTCAAGCATTCAGGTCATGGCTGAACGGGTATCGGAAACCTTGTATGGTACATCAAAATGAAAGTGAACAACACTGCTCTTCGGCATCTTACATTTTCGTCATTGATCTTGAACAGCTCATGACTGTCTGCTGGACATGTGTTCTCTTTCCTTACACCTGGACCTTTTGAAAAGATTTGTGGGCTTTGGTGGGACATGAGCAGGTGGTTGGATGCCCAAGCATTCAGGTCATGGCTGAACGGGTATCGGAAACCTTGCCAAATGTATGGTACATCAAATTGCAAGTGAACAACACGGCTCTTCAGCATCTTTCATCTTCGTCATTGATCTTGAACAGCTCATACCTCTCCTGGACATGAGACTGATTGTCTACGGCATGGCATCTCGCAAGCCACATCGCGGAATAGGAAGCCCAATCCACGTCATGATGAGGCGTAAACCAGATCTCTGCCTCAACCTCAGGTATGATGATCCGTGGCAAGACCGGAGCCAGAAGCAATGATATCCTCTTCCAAGGTCTTCATTAAAGCCGAAGGCTTCTCGCAAACCAGCACGCGGAGCAGGAAGCCCAATCCACATCATGATTATGTAGAGACTGCTGCCTCATCCTCTGGTGTAATCCGTGGCAAAACCCGAGCCAGAAGCATCAACATCCCTTCCTAAATTCTCCACTGAAGCCGAAGACTTCGATGTGATCGTGGAGGCTGTTGAGAGGCGCCAGAGCCGATGAACCGCTCACACGCTGGCTACTCACCCAGCAGGGAAAGCCATGCTGTTTGGATCAACATCCCGCCGGCGGGACTGACTGAGCAAACATCGAAGTTTCCATCATTTATGACTTCTTCAACTCAGCAATTGTGGTCGGAGGTGAGCTCTCTGGTTATCTTCATCCTACGCATACGTGGAAGGGATCTCAGGCGAATGGCAAAGTACGGAGAGGGCGGTCTAGGTTGATTGGTAAGAATTGGGTTCAATTAATGGGACAGCTGTGGCTGGGAATTCGGTGTAGCAGTGGGTTCACGGGATCTATAAGAGCCCACTATCTTCCATTCCCGAGTGGGAGCGTTACCGAGACTCGTATAACTTTTTTCGATATCGAGCTATCTATCCTCTAAATGTTGGGTGCTGATGGCCCTTGAAGAACCCGAAGCTAGGGAGATGAAGCAAACTTACATTCTCTGTCTGGAACACATGGCTCTTGGTATGGAATGGCACCGCGCTGTACGTCCTGATGACCCGACTGATTCATAAGCCCCGGCCGAGACCATTTTCGTTCCGCTCCCTCTTGATACAGTTCCAGCATTTTTGACAGCACCAAACGACTTGAAAAAAAACCAGCGAGAGGCCTGTGTGAAGGTTTCAAGCGAGTCGAGATCTTATCGTGACTGGCTATGGCGCCTGGCACAGAGGGTACTGTCTTTGGTCACGGCTTCTGCGGGCTCGTTGTTGAACTTCGTGTAGAAAAGCTTCAAAGGTTGCCAACATGGGCATTATCAGCTGATCACGGTCGACAGCATAGCCTCAGAAGGACGTCCGATCCATCGAAGAACTGCAGCCTTCTTGCTCAGGTCGGCTGGCACGTCAAAAGATCTCCGTGGCTGAAGCAATGGACATGTGCATGCGGGCCCGGCCATCGAAGAATTCCCAATAGAGCAAGCATAACGAGATGAGCAACTCGAAGTGCTCGACGATTGTAGCGGAGTTGCACATTGGGGACATGGACAGATGTTTGGCCTTGAATCGTAGAACTTGGCAATGCCGATGCCGATTGATGAAGCTCGGCCGCTGGCGAGATGTCAATATCTTTATCAGTTCGCCAGGCGACGTTTGCTCTTCATCGAATGGCAAGTGTCTGTGGCAGTGGCAGATAACATCACCGTTCCGCGCAGCGATCTTGGCTTCCGCTGTCCACGGAGATCCCGAGAATAACTTCGCTGGTGCTGGTGCGGTTCTTGGCGGAAAATCAGGCAACAACGGAGAGTCTGAAAAGTCCAGGACTGGAGCGCGCTCCGACGGGGAACGATGTAAAGTTGCTTGACGAAACTGGCCAAGAGCTGAAGGGTCAGCAGTATCGAGGACGGAACAGGTGTGCTGTGCTGTGCTCATTCTCTCGGCCTCGCTCATCTCTACAGCAACATGTTCGCCGTAAATCATGACGCCGACGTGGAGAGCCGCAGCCTGAGTGTCTCCTCTTTCGGCTGGTCCGCTCGCTGGTTGGATTTTCGACATGGCCCAAGTTTGGTGGCGTTGGCGAAGGAGGGGTCTATGATGATGATGATGATGATGATGATGATGATGATGATGATGATGATAATGATGATGATGATGATGATGATAATGATGATGATGATGATGGCAAGTGAAGAGTTTGACGTGTGCGAGGCGAGCTTCTGGGAGGAGGGTGAGATCACGAAGCTTGGTGTAAAGAAAATCGAGGCCGTTATCATTTGCTAAGATACCTGAAGTCCGAAATCTTGCGTCCCTTCTCTTTTTTGTCACCCGACGATGATCTTTTCCACGTTTTTTGCTCCCATCTCAAGACGTCCACCTCCTCGGAAGCTACCGAAAGTGTGTTGTGGAAAAGACGTGCTTGATGTCAGTGAGTCATTGAAAGGCAGGCAAGATGGTGTGACAAGGAATTCCTGCTTACAGACGTGGATGGTGGGTGTGGGCTCCTACAAAGCCTCTTCTAGTCCAGTGCCGAAGTTCGTAGGCATCTGCGCTGGCTGTTGATGAGCGGCAACAAGGACTGGAGTCCGCGGCATTGGAGCACGGGCTGAGCTGTGCGCAGCGTCTTCGTTGATGAATGGATTGTGCAGACGCTGATTGTGCTGAGATGAAGGCATAGCTGGAATTGACTGCGGCTGTGACTGTGTGACTGGTTGTGTGGAATCTGGTGAACGGAATTCGAGGCCATGGATCATGTTCGGACCATCACCGGCGTAAGGGATAGGTGTGCATTGTCCGAGAGCATGAAGTAGGCGTGGAGCGAAGTCCCAAGGAGGAGGATTCCCAGCTGACGGAACCTGAACAGACGCTGGTGGAGCTGTCTGTGCTTGCGCGCGCATCGGAGGCATGTCGGATTGCTGAGAGATCTCTTCCTTGGCACCCACCTGGGCTGACGACAGTTCACTCAAAGTTTGTGGAGAAATCGATTGAGCAGGCTCGATCAGAGATGCACTCTCCAAACCTGCAGCGTGAGCTGTCGTAGCTGGCATAGACTGGACCTGGAGGTGATTGGGGGGAATCGGCATGTGATTTTCAGCGTGAGCTGTCGTAGCTGGCATGGGCTTTGGGTTCTGGAGCTGGAGGTGATCCGGCGTAATGACCATGTGATTGTGAGCGGCCTGCGGTGGCATGAATCCGGTATGAGCAGAATGCATGCCAAAGCTCAGCGGACGCATACCAGACAATGCCGCATCGCTTGATGCCTCAGTTGACATGGTGTGAACTTGACGAGAGTGTGCCGTGGCTGGGACAGAGTGTTTTACTGCCTGTTCTGGGTTCGACATCGGATGAGTAGACTGTGGGCCGTGGTGAAGCGGGAGCAAGTCCTGGGAAGTCGGAGTGCCGGCGGTCTGCGCAGGAGGTGGATGAGTCTGGGACGAATCTGGTCGGACAACTTGCTCTCGGTTGGGCGCTGGGTAAGCAGATTGTGATCCATAGTGCATCTGCTGCACGTCGTGGGAAGTCGAAGTGCCGGCGGTCTGCGCAGGAGGTGGATGAGCCTGGGACGAATCTGGTCGCACAACTTGCTCTCGGTTGGGCGCTGGGTGAGCGAATTGTGATCCATAGTGCATCTGCTGCACGTCGTGGGAAGTCGAAGTGCCGGCGGTCTGCGCAGGAGGTGGATTACTCTGGGACGATTTTGGTCGGGCAACTTGCACTTGGCTGGGCGCTAGGTGAGTGAATTGTGATCCACAGTGCAGCTTCTGAAAGCCTTGAAGAGTGGCAGCGCTTGCGACCTGGGCAGGCGGTGTGTGTGTCTGCGGTGGCGGATTTGGTCGAGCCTGTTCCTGGCTGGGAACTGGGTGAGAATACTGCAGGTCACGGCCAAATTGGTGAGGGTCGCGAGAAGTATGGGTATGACTTGATTGTGTGGACGATGGATGAAGCTGGCGATAATTTGGCGGATGTGGTTCCGAGGCTCCGGGAGCCTGCTCTTGCTTGATCATCGGCTGAGCAGGCTGCGAGCCGTAATCTGGCCGATGAAAGGCATGAAGAGCTGCATCAATGCTTGCCAAATAAGGCTGTTGAGGATGGGCAGCAGGAGCAGATGGAACCATTCCATCCAGCCGCGAGGGAGAACGCAGAATGCCCTCTCTTCTCAGGCGCAGAATGTCTTCGACTTGATCAGGCGGGATGTGACGAGAAAGATTCTCCCGCAGGCGCTGCTCTTCCAAGGGGGATGCCGCCAAGGTCTGCTCTTCTTGCTTGACCGCCGACGCTACTGGGCCCAGGTTCCATCCGGCCAGGGTGGCCGTCAACGACTCCTCCGGGTCGTCGAGCAGGGATGAGCGTGGCGGCTTGACAGCGGTCGTTGGGTGGTTTGAGTGAGAAACACTGGGCTTCTCCAGGGCTCCACCATGCGACGTGGAAGTATCTGGCGAGGCGGGATCGCCGTAATTGTATCCATACTTTGGCGGAGAGGCGACCATGTGGTGAGCATGAGCAGTTCGTGTGTGCGGAGTAGAGGAGGAGGCGGCTTGGTGGTATGGAGTTGCAGAATGGCCAGCGGAAGGTGATGGCGAGTAGAAAGCGCCGTAGGCTTCTTCATGCTTTCGTGAAGGTGTAACTGGCTGGTATTGATGTTGAGTCGAGTAAGACATGGCCTGACCGTGTGGAGCGCCACCAGAAGAGGCTTGTGATGGTGGCGAGAAGGAAGCGCTATGACCTCGTCCATACTGTTGTGTAGAGCTGAATGGTCGATATGGATGTTGATTTCCAGTTGAAGGCACCACCGAAGATGCTGGCGTAGAGAAAGCACTGTAGACTCCTCCATACTCTGGTGAAGAAGACACGGCTTGATATGATCTGCTGGAAGACTGCGGAGTGACAGGTGCACCATACGGACCGAGCTGACCTGGCGATGCTGGCGATGCTGGCGATGCCGGAAATGACCAGTGAGGTGAGGCATACGGGGGACTGTGGTAAGAGGCAGGGTATGCCGCGATATACGATGCAGGATTGACTGAGGTAGCGGCAGGCTTCTTTGTCTTTGGAGCTTTGGAAACACACTGGCTCAGCTGGGCGACGACGTGCTTGGTCACAGAGTTTGCCGATAAGTTTGACATGTTCTTGATCCTCTTGAAAGACCGCCCACATTCGTTGTGTTGCCGCAGCACAAGTCCACCCTGGATGGATCTGGAAAAGGAGAAGTCAGGCTCGCGGACGGCCTTGATCAGAGCTTCAGAGACCAAGATCTCATACTGAAGCTTGTTGCCCAGTTTGCCGACACAGTTTTCTGTGATCAATCCTGTAGTCTTGGTCTGATCGATGTTGCTAGTGATCCACGAGACAATCTTGGTGACGCAGGCTTTGGCAACGCGCAGTCCCAAATGCATGGGAACATTCAGGTCGGAGCAGAGCTGGAGCAGTTGCGAAGGCGTAGGAACATTCTTGCTGGAGTAGCCGTGCTGAATGGCGCTCTTGAACATGACGGTCTTCTGCTGGTCGGTCCATGATGCGTTTGCCCTGCCAATAGATGTGCCGCGAAGTTGGCCAATGGTCAGACCGGCGAAGACGGCGACGAAGTCTTCTGGATCACTGTCGGTAGAGCTGTCGGACTCAACGTTAGAGTCCTCCGTGTCGGAATCGTAAGTCTTGGACTGCGAGCGTGAGTTTCTTGCGAGCGTGAGTATACATTGTCGAAACACCAACCGAGCGAAGCTTGCGTGCCGACATAATGGGCGGCGCCGATGTGTCTGCAATACGTGTGAGTGTTCCGATGCGAAGAGGAGGTGAGAGAAGAACAAGCAGTTGTGAAATGGGAATTCAAAGAAGATGTACCCAGAGCATCATTTACTGGTCCAAGTATCTGTGGACAGAGAATGATGGCGGGGTGCAAGGATGATGAGGGTGCCAGAAGACGTTTGCAGGTGGTGAGAGAGGTCTTGGCGGACGGCTTGCTTTGGACATGGCCTTGCAAAATGCAATGGCGGACAGGAGTGCATAGGTCGATGTAGAGAAAGAGCGATTTGCCAGTCAGCAAGCAGAGACTCAAAAAACAAGCCGAATGCCTTGGTCCGATCCAGGTAGATGAAGGTGTGGTATTCTCTCGTGCAGGGAGCGCAGCGCTGGGCTGCAGCAATGGGCGCCGGCGTTCTGGCGCTGAAGAGCGAACTCCACAGCTGCTGCTGGAGGACATGTAGTCCTCTTCATCGCGTCATCAAAACAACTGCGGCCACTGCCCAGCCGTCTCCGAGAAGTTCGCGTTCTTCGTAACGTACTGGAGAAGCTGGTAGGCTGGTCGCTCGGCTTCGGCGAAGCTACCGACAACTTCTCTGTGAAAGCTATGACTGAACGAGCGATCAGTTGTCATATGCCCACCAATACCATTGAATCAGGCCACGAGTCACCATTCCCTGCCAGCAGAAGCGGTCGACAACAGTACTTATCGCCATCTTGGTATCGCGCGCCTCAAGCCCTCCAACTCTTCAAACACAGGCAATGGCGGCATGCCACGAGTTGATGCTGTCTGCATGTATTCCATTCACCTCTGCAACATCTTGCTCGTAATCTTGGCGATGTCTCTCCCTCTTTCAGCGCGTCTTGTCGAGTTCAGGGTGCTGGCGCTGGGCTGGCGCTGGCGCTGGCGCTGGATTTACGCTCGCGGAGTGCGGGTGCCATGAAGCGCAGCGCATGGCCGAAGCTTTCGCCATCATGCACACGGTCTCAGTACGGCGCGCACGGAGGACAAGGCGTTCGACTCCCTCATGGAGACAGATACAGACTATGCCACAGGTGCCGTGCCGCGGGTGAAGCTCAACTTTGGCGATGTGCTTGCGAGAAGTGGTGGGAAGACACTAGGCCAAATGCCATTGTCGTCGGCGGTGGATTGTTGGAGACATGCCAGAGGCTTCGCTGGCTGTCTTTGGTTTGCTGTAGATGTCGGTCGTAAGGTGTGGTAGGTGTGGTGGGTGTGAGTGGGAAACGTTGTCGTTGCTGACAACTTCGAAGTCGAGTCGTGCCAAGGGAAATGTGGACAAGGATGCGAGAACAGCCGCAGTGCCCGCTGCCCGCTGGTCGTCCTCCACCAATCTCAACCTCACTGAATCACCAACCTTTTGAAGCCTCAAATCTAGTGGTGTGGACACTATTGAGCTCTCGTTTTGTAGCGCCGAACGAGGGCTATCCAGCAGTTGATGGTAGAGACTCGGCGAAGGCCAGGCCGCCATTTGCCTGGCAAGTGAGTGCCTGAGTGCCGTTTTGTCAGACGCGACTCTCTGCTTCTTCCCACCGCACATCCACACTTGAGTATTCTACTGACCTGCATACCTGCCTGGCCTGGCCTGGCCTGGCCTACGCGCTGCAATTTCATTCGCAATCCGAGCCACGCCATGCCGCGCTACATCGAACGAGCCGCCGTCTTTTTCGATCAACATGTCTTCCCCGACTCCTCCGAGCAGCTTCCTCGACCTTCTCCGATAGCGATGACACCAACGAATGACCTTCACGCCGCTCCATTAAACATTGCAGCACTTTGCCAACAATCCCAGCTCCCGGGACTTTCGCAAAACTGCTAGATCGCGAAGCAGTACGATGCAGGAAGCAGCAGCATGTGGCATATGCGTACAGAAAGCGAAGCACTGCAAGAGTCAGCCTATTCCGATGTAGCACGCACAATGTCGAGAGGACCACGGTAGAGCTCGCGAGGCTAAGCAGATTCCGAATTTGAAGACTAGAGCTGTCTCCTGCATCCCATCCAATCCTCCAGCGATACCTGATCTGTCAGGGCATCTCTTTTTGGACGTGAGCTTGACATGTATCCCAAGATCGATGCCATGCGCCATGACATGATGCTGCGGAATTTCAATTTGAGCACTACTGGGACCTTTGAGCCCACCAATTTTGCTTGTTGCCATGCAGCAGTCCGCCTATCGTTCTGGCCTCAACAGCGTATAGGACCGCAATGCCGCCGGAGGACTTTCGGCAATGTACAGACATCATTTTGAGGGCTTTGTTGTCACGCTCTTCGCCCATGATGTTACGGGTATTGGAACGACAAGAGCCATCCGAGGCGGCAAAGGATGGGGGAGAGATCCCAACAGACAGGTTGGCATCGAGAGATGAGCCATGCGAGGCGGCAAGGGATATGCGGATCGAGATCGGATTCCCCAACAGATGGGTTGGCATGCGAATTTGACCTCGAAGGATGCTGAGCGCGGCGAGCGTTGGTCATGAGTTCAAGACGCGGCGAACTACTAGCTTTGCATACTGATTGTGGCCATGCTCGTGAAAATTGGAGAAGTCCGTAGTCCGAATGACTTCCTTCAGACTCCTCTCCATGTCTACCGCAAAAAGAGTGTCAGCCTTCTACTCACGACTTCCATTATGCATGACCGAGGTAAGACTTACGATACTGTAACCTTGAATCCTGGACAAGATCACGATATGCTGCTTCGCTCTTCGATATCGTTCTGGAAAGTCCAAGATTGCAGAAGAAAACTTGCCGTATCAGCCTGCCATTGAACCTACCGGCACCCATGCAGCTCTGATCACTCTTGGCCCGCGGTCTTTGAGTTTCATAGTTAGCATGCGCTTACCGTAGCCGCTGAGAAGCGAACGATCGACAGCCGTCACTTGACCTGGCAGGACCTTTCACGCCATACATATTCCGTCGGGAAGTGCAGCGACACCTCATCAATGCTGTGGCTAAGTACCACTCCGAGCTCGTCAAGCACACCAGACCGCGATGAGACAGCAAGGTAGCCACGATTAGCCCGTCTGCGCTCCATAGTCGCCTATACAACTTGTCGCTTCGTGGAAAGATCTCTGCCAAAATAAACATTGGATGAATAGTCATCTAGAAAGTACGAGGATGATAATGTTCGTAGTCTAGTCAGAGGGAGATGTGAATGCTGGTCCTCGTCGGTAGTTGACGCTACGAGGAGAAAGTGCATGCAATAGTCTCCGATACATAATGCATACCCTTGCAGATTGAACGCCAGACACAGCAAGCACCTTCGATTCTTGTTGCTCTTACAACCCTGGACTTGATATGGTAGGCGGATTACTTGTGTGGTGCATAGGAGTCAGACCGGCGGAGTTGCATGCTTCGCGAGGATGGAAATGATAGAAGGCGGATTACTTCCGTAGTGCATAGGAATCAGACCAGTGTAGTTGCTCTGGCGACCCAAGAGTTGAAATGGAAGGCGGGTTTCTTCTGTGCGGCAGAGGAATCAGACCAGTGTAGTTGCCTGCTTCGGGGGGATTGAATTGATGGCTTCTGTGCTGCATAGGAATCAGGCTTGGGTGGTTGCCTACATCGTGCGGATTGAACTGAGACTGCACCTGCCAAGGTCCTTGTTGAGGAGAGGCTTCTAGAGAGGCAGGCACTCCAGAGCGCCTCGGGAGTCACACGGCAGGCGGATTACTTCTATGCTGCATAGGAATCAGGCCCATGGACTTGCCTGCATCGCACAGACTGGGTTGATGCTGCACCTGCCTTGACGAGACGACTTCCGGAGAGGTAGGCACTGTAGATGGAGTGCCTGAGAAGGAGGTTGAGTCGGGATGAGGTGGAACTTGGGGCTGAAATCTTGAGAGGGGCCGATGATGTCTTCATTCGTTCATTTACGATCGCAAACGGACGAGCGAGTGGGTGAGACTGGCATGTGACTCTTCACCCATACAGTGGTGCATCGCGGCAGTCCCTTACTCCTCCCCCGTTTGCGTCAAGAAGGCCGCCACGATGCAGAATCGACAGAATGAGGCACCGACAATGCTTTCTTCAGGCCTTTCTCCGGGAACTGGATGCAAGGGACCAACGTCTTCATATCATCCGTGAGATTGGTCATTGCCCCAACCCACCTTGTCGTCCTGCCATTGCGGCCACATGGCCGCCTGAGTCGGCGAGTACTCGATCTTGACCTCGGGAGTATGGCCTTTCGGAAGGTCTCCGGGGTCTCTGATAAGAAGCTTGATCATGATCAAGATGAAGATGGTGACGACGAGGATGCATACGTCGTACGTCCCTAGTCGCATCGGAGGTCGTCAATGCTGTTTCGACTGCGAAGAGGTGGAGGAAGTGGTTTCTACTCACGGTTGTGACGAGCCATTACTACGTGCCGTGATGTTTGGAAAGCAGAAAGATGCTGCTGTGCCTGGGATGGGAAAGTGTCGATGAGCGATCGTGTCACTCTCCTGCGTGGGAAGGTACTGGGAGGCCTTGTTGTTCTCTTCGCCTGGGGTCGTGAGGGCGATCTGAGAGTCGAGCTGGGGCGTAGCAAGTTGCGAAGGAAGATTTTGCGAAGGAAGATTACCTTGCCTTTTCTCGGGGGATTGAGCGCATTTGCCTGAGTTCTGGATTGGCGATTTGGGACGCAGATATTGAGTTACAGCGCCAAACGAAGGGACATTAGCGATCTTGAACAAAGGTAGGGCGACCGGGGAAATAGCATTGCCACGCTGGTTGTTTCAGACATGTCTTTGCCTGCTCTTGATCCTCAGGTTATGTAGAGCATGGTGGAGAAACAGGACGCCGAGCACTCAGATGTTGGAGCAGTCAGAGACACGATCGTTTTCGGAAGGCAGTGGTAAGGTGTCGGGGAGATGGAGATGTGTCTTGATGAAATGGCAATGCAATGAAACGGTGTGGTGTGGTGGTGTTCGTGCAAGCCATTCGGAGTGCTCTCCTCCTCCGCCTTGGCAAAATTCTCGGAGGAGGTAGAAAAAACGGGTAAATACTCAAATAGGACACATTGGCATGGTAATTACTCGAATAGTAAACCTCTTACTGGGATGGGACACATTGGTATAGTAATTACTCGGATAGTAAGTATTAGCATACTAATTACTCGGATAGGATTTCTATATCTGTAGTATATACTAGTAAATATAGAAAATCCCCTATTGCTACTACTTGGTTGTAGAGTTGTAGTTTTCTTATAAGTCCGGGACAACTATAGTTAAACACTATTTCCCTATTTCTATATTATATATATGTTACATAGAATATAGAAATACGGTAGTAATCTACTATAGTTAGAGTCCTAAACCTCCTTTACCTTTACTCTTAACCTTTTACAAACTCCTAGCTTGTTTCTGCATTTCTGTATTGTATACATATTGCATAGAATGCAGAAATACGGCTATAATTAGAGTCCCTCCTAGACCTTTACTCTTAACCTTTTAAAAACTCCTAGCTTGTTTCTATATTTCTATATTCTATATATATTGTATAGAATACAGAAATGCAGAAATGAACCTTTAGACTTCTTCTTAAAGGCTTCTGCCGTGCCTCCTAGGCTAGCATTACGAGTTCACTATCCTAGCGGATTGCTATCCTAGCGGATTGCGGCAGCTATATTCGTATCGGCATTAAAAGTACAATGCCTAATATCGCTAATATAGCGGATTATATTAACTACGAAAAAATAACTTCTTCTCGCAACGATATTATTTATAGATTAAACCTATAATCAATATATAGTATAAACCTTATATCGCTACTATTGTTAACTACTACGCTAACGTTATACTATAGGAGATATATATATATATAAGAATTGATAGCTAGTATCTAATAGCGAAGCGAGCCTATTACTATACTAATAGGTAAGGAAGAGAGTGCAGTCTCTTCCGTCTCTTCCTTAGCTTCGCTATAAAGGTAAACATACTTCGCCTAGCGTATTTAAATACTACGCAACTAACGGCCCGCTCCCTGTCCCGATTAACCTAAGGTAGTATCGCGCTTCCTTGAACTGATTTATTAGTCTAAAAGTCCTTGTAATATAGCGTCGTAAGAGCTCTATTTCGAGACACTTATATCGAATTAGGAGGTCTAATATTGTCGGACCTAGGTAACCCTACTTCGGCTAAAGTACCGTATTATTGCAACTTACCCCTTACTAGAAACTAGAGATTAGTATATGCCTAGCCTCTAACTATAATCGAGTTTCTGTAGCCTTCTATAATCTTAGTTTCTAGGTAGACCCCGTAGTAGTTCGGGTTGGTTTAGTTTGGTTTGCTAAGCCGAAACTCTAGTTTGGTTTAGGTTGGTTTGCTAAGCAACTATATAAGTAGCTAGTTCGAACTATATAATTTATCGGTTTTTAAGAAGTGTACGAATGTATACGTAGCTTTAAGCAAGCCCTTTGTAAGACTTAGTAGTGTAGCCGGTAGCGTAGCCGGCATTTTTAGTCCTTAGTACTTATAGAATTTTCGAATCCTACTTAGGCTACGTAGTTGTATAAAGGTACTTATATAACCTCAAATCTATAGACAATTAGCTAAGGGCACTAACCAATCAAAAGTATATACATATACATATAAGGCATTATAGTTTAGTTCGGAAACTGCACTCCTTAGGTATAAATTTTATCCTTTCGTTTACGGTTCAATTCCCTAACTGCTTAGTAGAATGTCTTTATCTAGATCTAGGCAGAACTTATCGATTTCCCTAAAAGTCTTCCTCCTTAAGAAGTTTATACACTTTCCTACCGAACTATTCGATAATATTAAGTACTAGGATAGCTCCTCCCTCGGTATCGGCATAGTATATAAAAGAGCTATAAGGCAGCTCTATAGAACGTTCTACTAGTTACTCGCTATACTAAGGCCGAATGCTAGTTCGTTCCTTAGAACTCTTAGTTATTTAGGAGATATAAAGGGTAAGGCAGGTAGTAACTTCGTATTATATAAGGAGGTAGAGGCTGCTATAGAAGAGGCCTTTAACCTATAGAAGATAGTAAAAGATATAGAGGCAGCTATAGGTCTAGGTACCTAGTTGAATTTTTAGTAGGTAGAGTATAAGGATATTTAGAGGGAGTATTAGGTAGAGTTGCGAAGGTAGGTGTATAATATGCTCTAGAAAATAGGGATAGTGCCTGTAACTATAACTATTAGGCTCTTTAACCTTCTTTATTTTTCCCTGTTTTCTTTTTATAAAAATCTAAACTAATACAAATCAACCGGAATGTCTATCTTCTTTTAGTTCTTTAAAAAACCTAGTAGCGTAGCTAGTAGCGTAGCCGGCAGCGTAGCCGGTAGCGTAGCCGGCCTTTTTACTCCTTAGTATTAACGGGATTTTGGGAGACTTCTATTCCGTACGGCTAATAAAGCATACTATACTATATACATATGCTTAGAGAGTATTTAGAGCGCGGTATATAGCGCCGTATAACAGCGGCTCATTTCGTATATAGAAAAGCTTATAGATAACACTACGAACATCCTTTCTACTAGAATATCTATCCTACCTAGCACCGTCTCGAATATAGACATTCTAGCCTTTTAGAATCTAATCGAGTGCTTTAAAATCCTTGTCTATAATCGTTATACGCTTCGCGTAGATAGCTATAAGGTTAACCGCTAAAATAGTATTAGTATAGTCCGAAAAGAGGTAGAAGAGAAATATATATTCGAAGATACGAACTAGGTAGGCTTCTATAGCCTCTTAAAGGGCGCCTATCGCGGAGGCTTAGAAGCGAAGGTCCGTTCTATAATCCTAGGCAATTTCGCGAACAAGTCGTTAGAAAGGAGTTTTACGGATTAGGAGCTAAGAACTCTTCTAATACTACCGAATCTTACGGAGGGCTACGGCTAAAGAAGGATTAGTAAAAAGACAGTAAGAATGCCGGCTACGCTGCCGGCTACGCTACCGGCTACGCTGCCGGCTATAAATAGGACTTACTTCCTAGGCGCTATCGACGCTTCGTACGATTGCTACTAGTAGTAGAAGCGCTAGTTATTGTCTTACGTAGAGCCTTACCCGCCGTTGTCTTACGCGGAGCCTTACTCGCGACGCCCTTTCTAGCACCGGAGCTAGCGGTAGCAGTAGCAGCCCTCTTACGTTAATGTACTATACTCGTTCTACTATTTCCGGTCTTGTTACGACCCGTAGAAGCACTAGGTCCCTTCTTACGAGGCGTCGTAACTTAGTTAAGTAGACTCGCTATTGTAAAAGTCGTCGAATTAAGGAAAAAAGTGCGTTACGAAGGTATACGAAGGCGCGCGCGGAGCGAGGGTATTACGGAGATAGTTCTAGCGAAGCGGGAGGCTAAAAAATAGGCACCTAGAGCAACCGAGGAGCTTGCGACGAGTATTGTAGAAGGTGTCTGTTTTAGCCTTACGCGAGCGCGAAATAACAATCAGACTCGTGCTTAGAAGGAGCATATAGCACCTGCTTATAGGTGCGTATCGCGAGGGTTCAATTAGCAAAAAGGCTCCCTATACAAATCTTAGCGCGCGATCTAATTGGTAGAAATTAAAAAGAAAGGTTACGTGCCGCTCTAACTTTACTGCAACTATAATAGTAGTACTACTACTATCCCTATACGTCTCGTATACGCATACGCATACGCATATATAGAAGGTCGTCGAAAGCACGCCGAAAGTACGCACCAAAAGCACGCACCGAATACACGTACCGAAGAGAAGATTACACTAAGAAGAGATAGTTAAAAAGAAGATCCTACAATGCGCCAATAGTATAATACGCCAATAGTACAATGCGCTAACAGCATAATGCACCAACAGCATAATGCGCTAATAGCACAATGCGCTAATAGCACAATGCGATAAAAAAAACAGCAATGTACTACCCCTACCTGCCTAAACCTATAGCGACCTTCTATAGCAAAACAAACCATTATCTATAGCGACCTTTGATAGTGAAAGCGCAATATAGGAAGAGCAAGGATATGCAATAAAGGACATAGAGCAATAAAGGACTTAGTAAAAAAAAAGAAGAATACTAAAGGGCAAAAAACTGTAGACGGGCAACACCCGGAGTCACTCTTGCGGATACGATATAAACCTCGAGCTTTTGACCCTTTAAGACACGTTACGAATTAACTAAGTGAATATGCCTACTAGACTTCGACCTTATACACTTCCGAAGAAGTGCCGCTACAGAAAACCTGTCCCGGAGAACTGATTTCTTTAGGTTTAGACAATAGGCAGTTACCTCCACTAGTTTATTAGGCTGCTAGCTGCCTTAGAAAAGACTATTGAATGGCCCAAATCCCTTAGGTTCCCTACGTAACTCGATAACTAGGCGTAAAGGATTACTACAACTCTAATACCTAGTTGTAGCTAGGTGTACGCTTCGTTATAGTCGATTGTTATTAGTTAATAGTCGTCTATTCTCGCAAGCTAATATACCCTTATTGCTACTACCTATAGTAATAGCTTAGTTAGAAGGAAAGATAGCAGGCAGGCAGGTAAGGTTTAAGTACTATACTAGTTAAGGGTTCAATTCCGTATCTAGAAGCTATATTATCGATATTAAGTTAGTATCGATATTAACATCGCTACGCACTAAACTAGCACCTCCGAAGCCGATATAGTTAAGTCGATTAAGCGTATTTCTAGCAAAACCACGCTAGCAAAAGTAATCAATACGATAACGACGGCTGCCTTAGGCTCCGAGAACAGCTTCCTTTTAGCTAGGAGACTAACGTTAGCAAGATGCGGATACTAAAGCGGTAGGCATAGGGGGTTTAGGAGGCGTGCCGACTATCCCCTCTACCCTAAGCGATAAGGCTAGCAAAAGAAGGGTACTAAAGTAGAGGGCAAGTTAAGACCGAGCCTTAGCGAGTGTTCAACTTGTCCGGAACGCTAACGTCGGACGAATAAGGGTACTAAAGTAGAGG